TTCTAGAAGTCTAGCTTTGATAAAGGCAGATAAATACATTGCAGGAATTGATTTATGTTTGTCAGTTGTCTTGGTCGTTTTCAAGTAATGTTTGGTAATTTCTAGTGGATCCAGACTTTTAGGTTTTAGTTTATTTCTTGCTATGATTTAAGGTAATGATTGTAATGGGGAGTTGTAGTTCAGTAGGCCATGTAGATTGGGTAATATGTGAAATGTTTATTCATCTAGTTTGCCCTAGCTAAGGACAACTGCTGAGAAACCACCTAGTTCACCTTCTACTGATATTTCAATTGATACTGAAAACGATCATCATAATCATATGAAAACGTAGGAGTCGATTAAACAAGGGTAGAGAGGCACAGTCAGTGTTGGAATGTGTCCCCATGCGGTGTCCCCTTGGCAGGCAGTCCCAGTGATTAGGATCCCCTCTGGTCTGGGAGGCCCTCATTTAGGAGCCACTAACCCGTGTGTTAGTGAATCCCAGGGCCAGGGTCCGTGAATGCACACCATGAATGGGGACTGCCACTGTCTAATGACCGGGGTTTGGCCAAGCTGAATAAAGTGTGTTTATCTCATGGTGACCTAGAACAGGAGTTAAACAGGCGTTAGTAACATGCCTCCAGTCAGACAGGCCAGGGCCTTCTCTTCAAGGACGGAGGGATGGGGAAGAGGGGGGTAACATGCTATCATTCTGCCGTTCTGGGGATTTTTTCCTTCCTCTGTCTGGCTCTTTCTCTCTATCCCTCTCTCTTTCTCTATGCATTTTTCTCGTTCTGTCTGTGTGTGTTATCCAACCTCGTGTGCTGCTTCAATCTGTCAAGTTGTATAATTCTTTGTCTCTCTATTTGTCTCTCTCGCTCCTGTGTCTGTCCAAACAGAGAGGCGCGCTAATGTTATTTAGAGGGTACTTGGTTGAGGATACTCTCAATACTCTTCTTCAACAAAGAACCCATCATGAGGACTTTACTCTCAACTCACAATTTTGTTGGAAATTTGGATTATGGACAAATCATCTATTAACTACCACATTTCTCTTTGTTGTCACGCAACTGTAGTGTGGTTTAAGCAGAATATGAAAAACGTAAAAGCCAGTCTCTCATCTCTCCCCTCCACAAGTGATACACATTTCATAGGATGGTATGGAAGCCAGGCATTTCTATGAGAGGATAGGGTGGGATGGATATTGGCTGTGAATAATGCACACCAAAGCCTTCAATTCAGTCTGGAACAAAAAACACTAATGTTTGCGGCAAGCATTAAGAGGTGTCCTCAAAACGTCTCTCATAAGCCCAAACGCTCTCACTCCCTTTCCCCTGCCACTATCACTCTTCTCTATCGCTTCCTCAGGGGAGGGTTATGTCTCTCCTCAGGGGAGGGTTACGTCTCTTTCAGAAAATGATCAGCTGGCCCCCTATCCTCCAGAGTGAAGGATGTTCACAGAGAAGGAATGTAAAATAGTTTATCTCACAGACAGCTAGGGGTACTGTAAGGTCACGGTGGTCCCTCTTGGCCTTACAGTACCATTTTTTCCTTACAGTACAATTTTTTCCTTAACTTTATACTTAAAAATACATTTATGAAAAGTTGCTATTCCTCAATAAAGTTCTTGAAAATGTTCTTAAGCTTCTTCCTATATTTCATCGTAAGAAAATAGTTAAGAAGAAATTACATTCTTGAAAATAAAGTTATTGATTCTTCTTGGAAATGTTTGTCAAGGCTGAGGTGAATGTGGTGTGGGAGTCAGGCGCAGGACACCGAAGCTTAGTCCAACAAAGTTTACTTGTGAGAACACAAGGCAAAGATACAATGAACGGCCTCAAACAAAACAGAGGCGAGCAATTACGCAAACTGTGCGTAAACAATAAAACAACAAACAGAGAAAACACGCAGCACTACGGACAGGCAAAAAACAACACACAACCTAACCAATACAAAACAGGCAACTTATAGAACACGTAATCAGACACAAACGGACACAGGTGTAATAGACAGACAAAAGCAATCAAACATAGAAACATTCAACGGTGGCAGCTAGTACTCCGGGGACGACGAACGCCGAAGCCTGCCCGAACAAGGAGGAGGAGCAGCCTCGGCAGAATCCGTGACAGTACCCCCCCCTTGACGCGCGGCGCCAGCCGTGCGCCGACCCCGGCCTCGGGGACGGCCAGGAGGACGCGGACCCGGGCGCGTGGGATGCCCACGGTGGAACTCAGTCAGGAGGGATGGATCTAGGATGTCCCTCCTAGGCACCCAGCACCGTTCCTCCGGACCGTACCCCTCCCACTCCACGAGATACTGGAGACCACTCATCCGGCGCCTCGAGTCCAAGATGGTCCGGACCCTGTACGCCGGGGCCCCCTCGATGTCCAAAGGGGGCGGAGGGGTCTCTCCTATCTCATCTTCTTGGAGTGGGCCAGCTACCACCGGCCTGAGAAGAGACACATGGAACGAGGGGTTAATATTCTTGTAATCAATAGGCAGTTGTAACCTGTAACACACCTCGTTCAACCTTCTCAGGACTTTAAAGGGCCCCACAAACCGCCGACCCAGCTTCCGGCAGGGCAGGCGGAGGGGCAGGTTTCGAGTCGAGAGCCAGACTCGATCTCCTGGTGCGTATACCGGTCCCTCACTGCGGTGGCGATCGGCGCTCGCCTTTTGTCGACTGATGGCCCGCTGCAGATGGACATGGGCAGCGTCCCACGTCTCCTCCGAGCACCGAATCCACTCATCCACCGCAGGGGCCTCAATCTGGCTCTCGTGCCATGGTGCCAGGACCGGCTGATACCCTAAAACACACTGGAAAGGTGTTAAATTGGTGGAGGAGTGGCGGAGAGAGTTCTGGGCCATCTCTGCCCAGGGGATATACCTAGACCACTCCTCCGGCCGGCCCTGACAATAGGACCTCAGAAACCTACCCACATCCTGGTTGACTCGTTCAACCTGCCCATTGCTCTCTGGGTGGTACCCCGAGGTAAGGCTCACCGAGACCCCCAAGCGTTCCATGAACGCCCCCCAGACTCTGGAGGTGAACTGGGGACCTCGGTCAGACACAATATCCTCGGGGACCCCATAGTGCCGGAACACGTGGGTAAATAGGGCCTCAGCGGTCTGTAGGGCAGTAGGGAGACCCGGCATTGGGAGGAGACGACAGGCCTTGGAAAACCGATCCACAACGACCAAAATGGTGGTATTCCCCTGGGAGGGGGGAAGGTCGGTCACAAAATCCACCGAGAGGTGGGACCATGGTCGTTGTGGAACGGGCAGGGGATGTAACTTTCCCCTGGGCAAATGTCTAGGCACCTTACACTGGGCGCACACCGAGCAGGAGGAGACATAAACCCTCACATCCTTAGCTAACGTTGGCCACCAGTATTTCACGCTAAGGCAGTGCACTGTCCGGCCAATACCTGGATGTCCAGAGGAGGGTGATGTATGAGCCCAATAAATAAGTCGGTCACGAACCTCGAGCGGAATGTACGTCCGCCCCACAGGACACTCGGGGGGAGTAGGGTCGGTACGCAGTGCCCGCTCGATCTCCGCATCGACCTCCCACACCACCGGAGCCACCAGACAAGACTCCGGCAGAATGGGAGTAGGCTCAATGGACCTCTCCTCTGTGTCATACCGCCGGGACAGGGCGTCTGCCTTACCGTTCTGGGACCCTGGGATGTATGTGATCTTAAAAACAAACCGGGTCAGGAACATGTTCCACCTAGCCTGACAAGGGTTCAATCTCCTAGCTGCCCGGATGTACTCCAGGTTACGGTGGTCAGTCAGAATGAGGAAAGGGTGTTGAGCCCCCTCAAGTCAATGCCTCCACACCTTTAGGGCCTGGACTACAGCTAACAGCTCCCTGTCCCCTACGTCATAATTACGCTCCGCCGAGCTGAGCTTCTTAGAATAGAACGCACAGGAGCGGAGCTTAGGTGGCGTGCCGGACCGTTGCGACAGGACTGCCCCAATACCGGCCTCGGACGCGTCTACCTCTACTTGGAATGGTAAAGAGGGATCCGGATGCGCCAGCACCGGAGCCGAGGTGAACAAGTTCTTCAGTTTGACAAATGCCCTGTCCGCCTCAGCTGACCACTGCAAACGAACCGGACCCCCCTTTAGCAGGGACGTAATGGGAGCTGCAACCTGTCCAAAGCCCCGGATAAACCTCCGGTAGTAATTAGCAAAACCCAAAAACTGCTGCACCTCTTTTACAGTGGTTGGGGTTTGCCAATTACGCACGGCCGACACACGGTCAACTTCTATCTTCACACCAGACGCGGACAACCGATAACCCAAAAAAGTTTACTTGTGAGAACACAAGGTAAAGATACAATGAACGGCCTCAAACAAAACAGAGGCGAGCAATTACGCAAACTGTGCGTAAACAATAAAACAACAGACAGAGAAAACACGCAGCACTACGGACAGGCAAAAAACAACACACAACCTAACCAATACAAAACAGGCAACTTATAGAACACGTAATCAGACACAAACGGACACAGGTGTAATAGACAGACAAAAGCAATCAAACATAGAAACATTCAACGGTGGCAGCTAGTACTCCGGGGACGACGAACGCCGAAGCCTGCCCGAACAAGGAGGAGGAGCAGCCTCGGCAGAATCCGTGACAATGTTCTTAATTATAGATAGCTAAACTCAAGGCAGAGAGAAAATAAGCTAATGAAACCAATTTAACATGTTAATTCACTCACAAACTTAATCTGAAAGTTTCAGTATTGATTGTTTTAAATCCAATAAAAAAAAGTGACCAGTAATCTCAGTAAGAAATATACTAACATGATTGTCCTTGCTAGCTAGATAGCTAGCTAGCTAGCTCGGTTGCCTAGCGACAATCATCTTAAGAAGATAGTTAAGAAGTTCGTAAGAAGATATTTGATAAGTTCGTAAGAAAATCATGAATTCTTAAGAAATGTTTGAGGAATTGCACTTACAAACTATCTTTTGAACTTCTTAATTTTGTTCTTAAGAAGCTTCTTACGTTTTTGCGTAAGAAGTGTTTTGTGAATCTGGGCCCTGTTCCACGTGTGCACAGAATATAGAACTTCTAGGTTCATGTCATTTTTATTCTCCCAGACCTCGGAAGGCATTGTGTTCTCTTCCACTGTGACTCCCCCTAACATCCTCTGACTGGTGTCTTCTCACCCACCTTACAGTAAGGTAATATGTGATCATGGCAGGAGTGTGGTCTCTGTTCTCTCCTGTCATCTTCATGGTGTATACAGTGAGAAACGAGGTCAGTGTAAACACGGCTAAGAGAGCCATGCAATATTCATGAGCCTTCACCGTGTTTAACGAGAACTCTGGGAGTTGTATTCTTTTGAGAGGCCCCGGCAGAGACACAAGATACAGCCCCTTTTATTTTTTTGTTTGGGCTGCGGCTGCCTTTGGAATGAATTAGCGGATTTGTTTATGTGTTTGAAGGAGAAATACAGGCGGAAAAACTGTCGCTCTGAGCCCTGCGGTCCACAACGACTCCCACAGAGATCAGATGCTTAAATATTTATAAGATACTTTTTTTTCTTCTCCCAAATTAAAACTACTTTCAGTTTTCAAAACAGTCCTGGCTTTGTGTCTGGTTAACTGTTTCATACTGTTTCATATTTCAAACGGCCGTCTCTGATTCTTGGCTGTCAGTGAGAGTTTCACACTATAGGGAGGGAGGAAGGAAGAAGGGGGGATGGAGTGGGTAGTCTTAGGCCTGAGCGATAGAAGTAGAGGAAGAATGGAAAGAAGAGGAGGTGCAATGAATTTTTCTCATCTTACACTAATCTTCTCCAGAGAGCTACAGTTGTAGTTGAGATCTTCCGAACTTTCAGCATTGATCTGTGGGATTTGGGGAGAGAGAGAAGTTGGGGAACGAGACAAGATACGTTTTTGTTATTGATAACATTGATGAGGCCCTATTTTCTCTCTCCACTGGATATGTTTATACATTAGAAGTGGTTGCCTCCTTCACTGCCCACAGTTTCCTCCTAGGTTGAGTGAGGCCTCCAGTGAGGCCTCCAGTTTGATGGCTTCGAAAACTTTCTTTGCCCTTGTCCAATTCACATCTGTATTTCATCCTACACTCTCTCTCTCTCTCTCTCTCTCTCTCTCTCTCTCTCTCTCTCTCTCTCTCTCTCTCTCTCTCTCTCTCTCTCTCTCTCTCAGTTCATCTTTCAGGTCTCTCTTTTTCATGTTGTCCACTCTCTTGATCATGAGATGCAACCTTTTCAGCCTTTGACCATATACTTTACATTTTGACCTTTTTCATCCAGACTTTACTCTGTCTGAGTCAAGAATATAAACCAGGTGGTGAGTGAGCATATAATCTCACTAGTCCATAGAATTCCAGAGACTGTAACTTGTTTAGCTTTCTTGAAAACTATTTCTTAAAGGGCAATTCCGCCACTTTTCAACCTCATATTCATTATATCCAGCACCAAATCAGTGTCTACATATGTGAAAACGCTGCATTTCTATGATTTGTGGTTAAAATGATAAGAAGAAAGGTCCTAAAAAATACTTTTCTGTGACATCACAGGCTAGGATTAAAAGCAAAAAAACAGTGATTTTCAAAACATGCAGCTTTATTTCTTTTTCTACAAAACATAGAAATGCGCCGTAGACTCTGCTATTGTGCTGGAGATAGAGAGTAAGGTAGTACGGTTGAAAAGTGGTGGAATTGCCCTTTTAAGACCCATTCTCGCACTCTCACTCATGAAATGAATTCACACTTGAATGCCCAAACACTTGTTCCTTAACTCTGTGTCAGTTCAACATTTGTTTGCTCTCTGTCTGAACACTCCAAATGGCCTTCTGTAGTTAGAAGTGTTCCAAAGGAATTGCTTGCTTGGAGGGAGTGATTTTTTACTGAAACTTCTCTGCAGGTATTTCCTCCTCCGACTGGGACAGAATCATTGTTTGTTTTGCCTTCCTGCTCGCTCCTCCTCAGAGGTGATCATTCACAAGGCAGGGATGTGTGTGTGTGGGGGGTCTTAGCTCAGTGGATCAGGCCCTGTGCTCCTCTCTCACCCGGTGGTGCACTGCTGTGACTGGACAGCTTTATCCACTGGAGAGGACAGCTCCACATGACACTCAACTGCCACAGCCAAAACATACACACACTGTATGCAGCAAGAATGCACATGCACACAGTGTGTTCGCATAATACACACTCAACCACACACGTCGCAATTTATACAAAGGTTGGGTCTAATCCTCAATGCTGATTGGTTAAAACCGCATTCCAGCCGGTGTCTATTCCACAAGTTACCACCGGCTAAATCTATGAAGTTAAAATGCCTATTTACTCTGTTCCATCTGACTGCGCAATCCACTGCGCAATCTAGCCAGGCAATTTATAAACTTGATCTCCACTGTAAAAAGCATCTATCTCACATTTCTTTTAGACTAACATTTAGTTTTCAACAGCAGAGATTTGTGTAAACCTTGCTGTCTGTCTCTCCAACATTTGCAACATTGTTTCAATATTCAAATTCAATCTCCAGCTGTCCAATAATAATGAACGTGTCGGAAGTCGGGATGAGACAGACAGGCAGGCAGCTTTTCTCAGCTAGTCGAAATCATGAATCAGCATCATTTTTATGGATTTATACACAAATAACTATCAATAGAAAACAGGTTAAACAAAACGAAGTGCAGCTAGTTTGCAGTCTTTCCAGCTTCAGTTTGAAGTTATTGTGTTAGCTGTGTTGTTGGCTAGCTCCTCTGAACAACAGTGTCCTGACGAGAGAGCACATTTTCTATGCCAGGTGAAATCGCGCATCATTAGCTCATTGTTATGGATGTATCCAAATAAATGTCACTAGAAAACAGCTTAAACAAATTCAAATGGAGATACTTTGTTGTTATTCTGGCTGCACTGTTTGACATCACTGTAAGTTAGCCGTAGTTGGCTAGCTAGCAAGCAAGGGATAAGAACGTTGCCAGCCAGTATGGCAATAGAACATTTAGAACGAACGACTGGCTCGTTTCCATAGTTACAGAACAAAAAGAGTTAACGACTGGGTCGCGTCTCTGGCAACCGAACCGATAGAATGAACGACTAGCCAGCTTGGGTAGCAACCCTAGATTTGTGTCGGGACTATATCTTGTGGAAGGATGAAATAGTATGAATAAATTAATCAAAATAGCATTTTTTATGAAAATATGTAAATCATTATTTGAATATGTTGGTAACCCGTTGTATAAAAGTGATAATGCCCTTGAAGCCGGTGTTTGGAGGATATCTTGGCACGGTTTGCAACATCCGTGCCAATATATCATCCAAACACTGGCTTTTCAGGCATTATCACTTAAGTATCTTTCAGTCTTTGCTAAATGTATTTCTGACAGCAAGCCTTCCCATGTGTCTCTCTCTAGCCCAACGACCCGGTGACTAACATCTGCCAAGCAGCCGACAAGCAGCTCTTTACACTAGTGGAATGGGCCAAGAGGATCCCCCACTTCTCTGAGCTGCCCCTGGACGACCAGGTCATCCTCCTACGAGCAGGTGAGTTCAACACAACCAGGTCATGAACATTCATCAGAACACATCAGCATCCTCATGGGCAGGTCACTGCAGCATTATGGGCTTTGTAGGCTATTTGTAGGCTATTTGTCTGAAGTCAAGAGCAGCAGATCTCATAGAATGAATAATCTGTCATATTCTTTATGTATGCTATCATTCTTTGTGAGGGTGTTTAAAGTGTTTTCCATATATATTGCCCTTGCTGATTTCTTGTCGCTCCTTATACAACGGGTGGGTCTAATCCTGAAAGCTGATTGGTTAAACCCACATTCCAGCCATTGTCTATTCCACAAGTTACCACCGGCGAAATCTATGACGTTAAAATGCCTATTTACTCTGTTCCATCTGACTGCGCAATCCACTGTCTCATCAGCCTAGCCAGGCAATTTATAAACTTGATCTCCACTAAAAAAGCATCTAGACATTATCTCTCATTTCTTTTAGACTATCATTTGGTTTTCAACAGCGGAGATTTGTGTAAACCTTGCTGTCTGTCTCTCCGACATTTGCAACATTGTTCCAATATTCAAATTCGATCTCCAGCTGTCCCATAGTAATGAACGTGTCGGGAGTCGGGATGAGACAGACAGGAAGGCAGTGTTTCTCAGCCAGTCGAAATCATGAATCAGCATCATTTTTATGGATTTATACAAAGAACTATCAATAGAAAACAGGTAAAACGAAACGAAGTGCAGCTAGTTTGAAGTCTTTCCAGCTTCAGTTTGAAGTGATTGTGTTAGCTGTGTTCTTGGTTAGCTATCGAACAACAGTGTCCTGACAAGAGAGCACATGTTCTATGCCAGGTGAAATCACGCATCATTAGCTCATTGTTACGGATGTATCCAAATAAATGTCACTAGAAAAAAGCTTAAACAAATGCAGCTACTTCGTTGTTATTCTGGCTGCACTGTTTGACGTGACTGTAAGTTAGCCATAGTTGGCTAGCTAGCAAGCAAGGGGTAAAAACGTTGCCAGCCAGTATGGCAATGGAACATTTAGAACGAACAACTGGGTCACGTCCATAGATGCAGAACAAAAAGACTGAACGATTGGGTTGCGTCTCTGGCAATAGAATGAACGACCAGCCGGCTTGGGTAGCAACCCTAGATTTGTGTCAGGACAATATCTTGTGGAAGGATGAAATAGTATAAATAAATTCATAAAAATAACGTTTTTAATAAAAATATGTAAATCATTATTTGAATATGTTGGTAACCCGTTGTATAAAAGTGATAATGCCCTCGAAGCCAATGTTTGGAGGATACATTGGCACCTGTGCCAATATATCCTCTAAACACCGGCTTCTCGGGCATTATCACTTAGAAATTACACAGTTCACTTCCAAACTCACCCTGAGGAAGCCCATCCATCCCTCCATCCATCTCTCTATCCCTCTCCTACCCATTCTAACCGTTCTCCTTCTGGGTACCCATAGTGATGGAGAGAGTGAGACCTTCTGCGAAGAGCTGTTCTGGAGCTAGCTGAGAGGGTCCTCTCTCTTCTACTCAGCGCTCAGCTCACGTCTTCTATAAATAACCACTTTAGTTCTGCTGTCTCACAGATGAAAGCATCCCAGCCCCTCTCATTCCCAACTCAACTCTGGGGAAAAGCGGAGAGTGTTGCTAGGCAGAACAGTTAAAGGAACCTTGTCACTCAAACAGCACAGAGCTCTCCGTGCCTTACCCTCGCTTGGTATATCAAGTGTGTTGCCTTTATTGGGATGGCAGGCGCAGTACACCCTGTTAAACACTTGTCTCTCTGGAAAGCACGTCTGAGATGGGCTGCTAATGGCCCACAGCCTATGCATGAAAGAGCTTTCTGGTTTGCCTATTCAGCCTAGAATTGATTAATTGGAATTCCCTTCCCTTGTTGTCAGCTCAATTTAGTTTGAATGTTGAATGCAACTTGATGAACTTTGTACTAGGTTTTCACTCTTTATCTCTCTTCTTATTCTTTCTTCTCTGTCTTCTCTTTTTTCCCTCAGGGTGGAATGAGCTCCTCATCGCATCCTTCTCACATCGTTCGATAGCGGTGAAAGATGGGATCCTCCTAGCAACAGGGCTACACGTCCATCGTAACAGTGCCCACAGTGCTGGAGTGGGAGCCATTTTTGACAGGTAGTCAAGATTACCCTGTTGGCACTGGCTTGATACAATCAGCTTTGTGAAATACATTTTTGTTGGTTGCTATGCAAAGTTTCCACAATTAGGGCAAGAGAAAAGTAGACCCTGACCTATAACAGTGAAAAGGCTCTGTCAGAAGAAGAGGTAGTGATGCACAACAGAGATTGCTCTTATTATTGATTAACAGATATTCATTAAATATGTTTGGCTACAGGTGACGGACCTCACAGAGAGATGGAGACCTGCTCAGACAGAAATTTTTAAAGAATCTATTTGTATGCATTCCTGATTAAATCCCACTCTTTTGACTGCAATCCCATGGCAGGCTGTGCCTATTCCGAAGCTGATATTGACCTTCTTTTCCATTAATCACATTTTATGCCTATTGTCGCATTGTTTGTTTTTTAAAGTCACATTTTTATAGAAGAATGAATACAAAAGAACAGTATCAAGATATGCCTTCTCAGTGTACACAGAAGTTGAAAAGACCATCCACTGTGAGATCAATCCAACACATTGTATTGTAAAGCGCGCCAATGCTCTAAACCCTGTGTCCCCTGGCATGCTGAGTCACCAACTGAAGTGTTCTTTTGAGGGCAACAGCTGTCACTCTCTCTCTCTCTCTTTCCCATCTTTCTCTCCCTCTGCTCTCTTTCTCCCTTTCTCTCTTATCTCTCACCCTCTCTTTCTCCCCCCCCCCCCCACACTCTCTCTCTCTCTCCATCTCTCTCTCTCTCCCTCTATCCCCAGCTGGGAATCTGTGCTCAGTGATTAGCATACTGCCATTTCACTACTTCTAATGGATGGATTACATCTTTGCATTAACTGGGGAAGCATAAGAGATGATAATGAAGAGAGAGCGCTATCAGCAGCGTAGCGGAGCGAGGAGGGAGGAGAGAGGAGAGGAGAGGGAGGGAGGAGGGAGAGGAGAAGGAGAGGAGACGGAGAGGAGGGCGAGGAGAGAGACGGAAGGGAGGGAGAGGAGCGAGAGAGGAGAGGAGGTAGAGGAGAGTGCGACGAGGAGAAGAGAATAGAAGAGAGAGCGAGAAGGAGAGGAGAGGTATGTCAGTATGCTGAGTATAGTCGTATTCATTCTATTCGTTGATCTCAGATCTCTTATATTGATCTTTGCTTATCGTCTTTCTTCTCTATTCTCTTCTATCTTCTCTTCTCTTTCTTCTCTTTATTCTCTTCTCTTTCTCTTTCTCTTCTCTCCTTTCCGCCATACAAATGAAGAGGGAGGTTAACTTAAACACGCAAGTCTTTTTTTACTCTCATTGTTCCAACAGGCAAATTAAATTAGGATGAGCTAAGAGTTGCAATTGACTTGAAAGAGAGACAGAGGGAGAGGGAGAGAGAGAAAGAGAGCAGGCGGGACGGAGTCAGAGAGGGGTGAGGAGTTTGAGTGGTCGCGTCATACTCCCAAAACGAAACGCTGCCTGCCTAGTGATGTCACACGCGGGCGCCGGGAATGTCAGTGTTCGGTTACAGTCTGTGATTGTGTTTGCGCTATGTCGTTCATGTATTTCCTTTTATCAGCCATGTTCTAAGCAGCTTGAGTTACGTGGTGTAGGCAGGGCTGTACGATTTTTAGCTGGTTGAACATCCCATGTGTTTCAGGGCAGTGGGGCCGTGTTGTCAATTGATTTGTATTGAGTTTCCATTGAGTTTCACCTGTAGATAAGGGAGGGTGTAATGAACGGTGACCTCCTGAGGTGTTGCTGACTGATGGTTAGATCTCTAAGAGCCTGTCTGTGTCTCTCCCTCTCTCCATCCAGAGTGCTCACAGAGCTGGTGTCCAAGATGAGAGACATGCAGATGGACAAGACAGAGCTGGGGTGCCTTCGAGCCATCGTCCTCTTCAACCCAGGTATCACATACATACACTCCTACCACTCCTTTCATCCAGAACCTTTTAGATTAGATTATTAGATTATAATAACACAATAAAGGGTTCTGCTTTAATACATATGTTCCTGCTACTTTAACCTCCCAAACAATGACTGCACATGATACCAGTACACTATTATACTGTGTGGCCCTCAAGGACCATAATACACCCTCCTTGTCGTGCTGCTGCTCTAGTTTCAACTGTTCTGCCTGTGGCTATGGAACCCTGACCTGTTCATTGGACGTGCTACCTTGTCCTGGACCTGCTGTTTTCGACCCTCTCCCTCTCTCTCTCTCTCGCTCTCTCTCTCTCTCTCTCTCTCTCTCTCTTTCTCTTTCTCTCTCTCTCTCTCTCTCTCTCTCTCTCTCTCTCTCTCTCTCTCTCTCTCTCTCTCTCTCTCTCTCTCTCTCTCTCTCTCTCTCTCTCTCTCTCTCTCCCTCTCTACCGCACCTGCTGTCTCGACCTCTGAATGCTCAGCTATGACATGCCAACTGACAGTTACTTCTGAGGTGCTGACTTGTTGCACCTTCTACAACCACAGTGATTATTATTTGACTCTGCTGGTCATCTATGAACGTTTGAACATCTTGAAGAACGATCTGGCCTTAATGGCCATGTACTCTTATAAACTCCACCCGGCACAGCCAGAAGAGGACTGGCCACCCCTCAGAGCCTGGTTCCTCTATAGGTTTCTTCCTAGGTTCCTGCCTTTCTAGGTAGTTTTTCCTAGCCACCGTGCTTCTACATCTGCATTGTTTACTCTTTGGGGTTTTAGGCTGGGTTCTGTATAAGCACTTTGTGACATCTGCTGATGTAAAAAGGGCTTTATAAATACATTTGATTGATTGGTTGAGTGATACACACACACACCACCATCACCCACCAGACCCATGTTCCTGACGTGGTTTTTCCCACCCACGTAAGTGGCATGGCAGTTATGTGGCCCGCAACACTCTGCCCACAGTGCCCACAGACAGCCTCTAGCCTCCAACCTTCTGCTAGCCCTCTGCTAGCCCTCTGCTAGCCCTCTGCTAGCCCTCTGCTAGCCCTCTGCTAGCCCTCTGCTAGCCCTCTGCTAGCCCTCTGCTAGCCCTCTGCTAGCCCTCTGCTAGCCCTCTGCTAGCCCTCTGCTAGCCCTCTGCTCTATGGTACAGCCAGGGTTAACTTAATTACCATGCTGAGTGCCCGTGCCAGCCATGCCCAGCTGGCACCAGACGCGCTCCTTGTCTTTAACGAGTCTGTGCCGTGGCCCCGGAGACAAAGAGCAGTGTGGGAACGTGCCGCCGGGCCTCATTCTCCCAGGACAGACTGATCCTCTGTGCTCCTGGGTCACTCTGTTATAGCCCTGGCTCTGGAACACTTCACAGCCTACTTTCCCCTAATTAGGAGCATCTCACAGAGATAGCCTAACAGGGGAATGCTGGGATACAGAGGGGCTGAGTCCTTTCCCACACTGAGATGAGAGTATTGCTGTATTCAAGCCTTTTCAGTTTCCTTTAAAACAAATACTTGCTCAGTTGTAACCAATCAGATCCAGAAATGTGTTGTATTAAATGTTGAATCCGGGCCCGTATACATAAAGTGTCTAGGAGTAGAACATTTGTTGTAAATGCTGAGAATAGAGACATTTTACTCCTACTCTTATAGGTCAAAATAAAAGCTATGCATGAAGCCTCTTTAGTCCCACCTAATCGACAGATGTTTAGGAGACCTCATAAGCTGTCCTAACAAGCAGGTGTCTTGATAATTGAAAAATGCAGCGAGTCAATGGTTCCTGTGCCACATGCAATTGCTTTCGAGTTGTTCAAAGAATGTTTTGATATTTATGTTTTAATATGATCAATCCATTAATAATCTAGACCTACATGCAACAGTATCTCTTGCGCTTTTGACAATGATTTCACGTGAGGCCTATTTCACATGATATGCCTAAATACTTATAACCACTAGGCTAATAAATAAACACATTTTTCTTTCTGTTATTTAATTACCTACATCATGTTATTTCAAGTTATCCCTTTGGAGTGCAACATTATGTTATTAGAAAAGTTGCCTACACATGCCTATGAATTGGGCAATTGAAGGCATCTAGGGCTTATGTTAACTTTAATTGTGTTCAACATTATCGGCAAGTGACTTGATGCCAAAGCATTTTAGAGTTGTTAAAACTGTAATATTTTTTAAAGTTCCTCTATTAACAACCATCAGAATTGGTTAAAAAAAAGTTATGCAGGGCCTCCCAAGTGGTGCAGCGGTCTAAGGCACTGCATCGCCGTGCTAGAGGCGTCACTACAGACCTGGGTTCGATCCCAGGCTGTATCACAACTGGCCGTGATCAGGAGTCCCATAGGGCGGCGCACAGTTGGCCCAGCATCGTCCGGGTTAGGGGAGGGTTTGGCCGGGGGGGGCTTTACTTGGCTCATCGCACTCTAGTGACTCCTTGTGGTAGGCCGGGCGCCTGCAGGCTGACCTCAGTCGTCAGTTGGACGGTGTTTCCTCTGACACATTGGTGCGGCTGGCTTCCGGGTTAAGCAGGCGGGTGTTAAGAAGCGTGATTTGGCGGGTCATGTTTCAGAGGATGCGTGACTCAACCTTTGCCACCCGTTGGGGAGTTGCAGCGATGAGACAAGATCGTAAAAGGGGGTGAAATAAAAAAAGATATGGTTATGCATGCCAACATATTAGGCAATAATTAAGAGTAGGCAAAGTGATCGTGTCAGATGAAAATTATATCATTCGTTTTATCAATGCAACATTTGATTTACAGTCACATTAACCGTGGTTGTCTGAAGCGTACTATAGAAATCACACCTGGCGATGCCTCATCGCGATTGGTTATTCCCCATCATTTGCAACAATGCCAATGAGCTTCATCACTATCTTTCTTGTGCGGTACCTCAAACTGTCGTGATTACCAGCTGAGATAAACTTTTATGATGCATCTTTAATTTCCTCTGAAGAGTATCTTAAATAACTTTCACGCGTTGAGATGAGAGTATTGCTGTATTCAGGCCTTTTCAGTTTCCTTTAAAACAAATACTTGCTCAGTGGTAACCAATCAGATCCAGAAATGTGTTGTATTAAATGTTGAATCAGGGCCCGTATACATAAAGTGTCTAGGGGTAGAACATTTGTTGTAAATGCTGAGAATCCCTGTCTTTTGCTACTAGCACTGATTTTACTGATAAATACCTTGTTGAGGGAAAATGTACTTGACATGAATGTGATGTGTTGTTGTCTCACCTAGCTATCTTAAGATGAATGCACTAATTGTAAGTTGCTCTGGATACGAGCGTCTGCTAAATGACTAAAATGTCAATGTAAAATGTATGAGTTGACTTTACTCCTAGATCAGAGTTTGTCTGGGCAGTGTAACATCATCCTAAAACCCACTCTGAGCTGGGAGTTTTTTGTTGTTGTCTTAAAACAGGTTTTAACAGGATTCCTAGGACCTTTTCTGAGATGCTTTGTGGATACGGACCCAGAAGTGTTATGTTATGTTGTCGTTGTTGGTGACTGTGATGTATTGAAAATGAAAATAAAATGTTTGAAGGAAAAAAAAGTTTATTGTAAGATAGCCAAAGCAAAGAACAAGTTCTACTGCAAATTGCCTCCGAATGTAGGGTTATCCAACCTCTTGCCAGAGTGGAAAACACAAGGTCATAGACATGGCCTATATGTGTTGCCTCATCCAGGCTGTGTAATGGGGAGAATTAACCTGCATATGTATATGAGACAAAGACCAGTAGGGTAGATCACATGTCATTTGATCTAATTAGTGTTAAAGCCTTCTGATGGCAGCAGGCAGGTCTTAGGCTTAGGGGCAGCCAGCCTGTCCACTGCTGTTTAGCACTAGCACTCCCTGTCTCACATCTACATGTACACCCACAGACACAAAGGCATATTATATTTAACACACACACACACACATAAACACACATGCTTGAATGTACACACAAAGCTGTATTTGTACAGACATGCATAAATCCACATTTGATATCCTGTGACTGTTGTGACTGGTTGTCTGATGCAGTGCTGTGTGTCTCTCCTCAGACTCTAAAGGCTTGTCAAACCCAGGCGAGGTGGAGGCTTTGAGAGAGAAGGTCTACGCCTCTCTGGAGGCCTACTGCAAACAGAAATACCCAGATCAGCCTGGCAGGTACGGATACATGCACCTCCCTCCATAAACTAAGCTTCCCCTAATGTAAATTGAACTAAATTGGCAAAATTATATAGCCTAATTAGCCTACTCCTGTCTATACAGAAATAATTAAAATAATTCAGACTTCAACATATTCAAAATTCAGCTGCATGAGTCCTCACACCAGTGTTGTAGTACTCGAGACGGTCTCGGTCCACATTTTGAAGTCCACATATTGAGTGTCACGGTCTTGTCTCAGTGTCGGATACATTTGTACTTGGTCTTGACTCGGTCTCGGACAGTGAGGACTTGTAATTCTTCCTGAGACCAGCGGAGTCAAAAGACTTCAGGCAGCGCATAAAACCGCTTTGCCAGGCCAAATATATACACTCCTTTCTTAAAACATTAATATCTTAACAGCCTTATCTATTATAGACATGTTTTTTTAGGGCCAGTGGTGTAGCGGAGGTTATACGCAGGTAACTGTAGACCCACTTTGTTTTTCAGTGGGCATTGTGTATACTCACTTCTTAATCCCTACTGATGCGTATCAAAGTAGTGTAGTGGAGGTATACGACTTATCAATTATGTAGTACAATAGAGAAATCATGCACAAAGTAGCCTACACAATCGCAAAGCACGTGAAATATATTCACATGTGTGCCACACAGCCTAGTTTCAGCGTAATATCATCTGCTGGCAGCAAGAGTGTGCAGCTCTCAACTGGTTTTGGCATGGAGCAGCTCACAGAAATGTAACCGCTAACTAAGGCAACAATGGGTATGCAAACCAGGTATTGAAAAGGTTTAGTCCGAAGTGTTGGTTAGTAGGTTATTTGTGATGTGCAATTGTCATCATGTGCTGTTTGCATCAGGGCGTAGACATGGATGGGCCTGGGTGGACACAGGCCCAACCACTGGGGAGCCAGGCCTTGACAGGCCTACCTAATCAGATTGTCGTGGTTTAAGCATTGTTGAGGACTTAGACCATCAAATGTTCTGAATCTGAAAAATCTATAGGAACACAAAAAAACTTGTAGGATTTTTCACATTTTGGGCAAAGTTAGAGTATACCCACATCTCCAGGCACCACTACACCACTGCTTAGGGCCGATGGAAAGACAGCAGTCACAAACAGCATGATGTTAAAGGATAAGCAGTCCATAAACTCGGACATAATAAGCCAGTAGGTCCCAATCATAAGAATACAAAAACACAACCATTAAGCAGTTCCCAATCGAAATGTACAACTATTACTTCCCATTGCAAAAAAACATTTCACGTTTTAACTAGTTTGCAGATATGAAACAGACAATCATAATATCAGTCAAAAATATCAAATTCACGATCCCAGGATGTGTCGCAGCTAGCCGCGCCCGGGAGACCCATGAGGCGGCGCACAATTGGCCCAGCATCGTCCAGGTTAGGGGAGGGTTTGGCCGGCTGGGATGTCCTTGTCCCATCGCGCTCTAGCGACTCCAAGCTAGCCTACTTCCGCCAGTTAGCTTGGGTGCTTGGTTGGGACAAGCATGCATTGGCAGGCAAGCTGCAGAAGGACGAGGATACAATTCTCCATCATTTTTCAGTGACATTTTGACACCCGACTAGCTGAGAAAGTTTGAGAGGGTTTATCTAATGTTCCTTTGTTAGATTTTAGGTCATCTTGCTCTGGCTAGCATTAGTTGTTGATCTTGTTTTTTCCCCCCCACTATTCTGAATGTCTAAAGAATCCATATGTTGTTCTGAAATATGAACACAGAAATTCTGGACATTTTGAACTCTTATTATGGTGGTGATTTGACAAAATTACAATCATGGTCTTAAATTGGACTCGTATTTTTCTGGAGAGCATCGGCCATCCGGTGAATGAGAATATTCACTCTTTATCATTGTTGGGTCAGTGACACTTGAATGTTTGTTTTTGGGCAATAATTTCCTCCTCCAGGTTAGATGCACGTCATATGGTAGGCTATTTGTGTCTCCCCTTCTCGTAGGCCTATTATATCAATCAGACAACTTCGTTTTTTTTATTGATCTGTTTGTCCGTGTCAGCAGAGCAGGCTACCCTGTAATTTTTGTCGTATTAACCCTTTAACCCTATTCTCAGCCGACTGGTAGAGCGCATGTTTTAGAAGTGGATATAAAAATAATCTTTACTTGAACTTGATTGGTCAACTCCCCCAGCCCTGCCACAATTAACATAATGTGTATCATTTTGGGTTGCTGCAGTTGTGGCACTGTGTTGTGGCACTCTTTGCCCACTCAGAGGGCTGTAAGAAAACTTAAAATCAGTCACCAAAGATATGGAATTAAAGGCAGGAATTTAGTTGATGAGGGATGAATATTGCACCATTCCTGTTAGTAAAGACATTTAAGAGTAGGAATATGAAGATAAATACTTAAAATGCAAAAAGGCTAAAAAGCAATAATTTTTTAAATAATTTGCTCAACCAGGCAGTTGATATGTCAGAAAAGAGTATGTTGGACAAAAAATAGGGTCAATTCATTTTTTATGAAAAATACTTATTTTGGTGAAAAATATAATTGAATTGTTGACAACTCACTATATTAGGCAACATAAATTGGTTAAACCACATTTCATGTCCCATGGGGTCAATTAATCAATTGTTGTTGACTTAAGTTTACCTATAAAATAATGCTTATAATAGTAACATTGCACTATACACCAATTCATGTTTGGACATACAAAATTACCATAATTGGTTACAATTTGACATCAGTCCTCATTTAACAGTGCGTACCTACCTATAAAAGCCATTATAGAAGACCTAAAGTCATTTTTGTAATATTGTTGAGATTAGTAAAAATGCTATGCAAATTGCCATTCTAATATGGCATTGCTGGTATGACACTCTTTTGTCTTCTCAGTCGCCTGGCAGAGCTGTTATTTCCAAATGAAACATCAAGTTGTAAAAAATAGTTCAAAATTGAGTTGTTAGTAATATGAATTTAAGGTGTAATCATGTTTTTCAAGAAGAGACAGCTAAAGGGTAAAAAAATATTCTGCTAATATCTCGTCAAAGGCCCAATTTTTCCCATGCATAGTAAGGAGAAGAAATGTATATTTTATAGCCTATACAGTGTCTTGCAAAAGTATTCATCCCCCTTGGCGTTTTTCCTATTTTGCTACATTACGACCTGTAATTTAAATGGATTTTTATTTGGATTTCATGTAATGGACATACACAAAATAGGCCAAATTGGTGAAGTGAAATGAGAAGAATAGCTTGTTTCAAAAAATGCTAAAAAAATAAATAATGGAAAAGTGGTGTGTGCATATGTATTCACCCCCTTTGCTATGAAGCCCCTAAATAAGATCTGGTGCAACCAATTACCTTCAGAAGTCACATAATTAGTTAAATAAAGTCCACCTGTGTGCAATCTAAGTGTCACATGATCTGTCACATGATCTCAATATCTATACACCTGTTCTGAAAGGCCCCAGAGTCTGCAACACCACTAAGCAAGGGGCACCACCAAGCAAGCAACACCATGAAGACCAAGGAGCTCTCCAAACAGGTCAGGGACAAAGTTGTGGAGAAGTACAGATCAGGGTTGGGTTATAAAAAAATATCAGAAACTTTGAACATCCAATGGAGCACCATTAAATCCATTATTTAAAAAAATTGAAAGAATATTGCACCACAACAAACCTGCCAAGAGAGGGCCGCCCACCAAAACTCACGGACCAGGAAAGGAGGGCATTAATCAGAGAGGCAACAAAGAGACCAAAGATAACCTTGAAGGAGCTGCAAAGCTCCACAGCAGAGATTGGCTTATTTGTCCATAGGACCACTTTAAGCCGTACACTCCACTGAGCTGGGCTTTACGGAAGAGTGGCCAGAAAAAAGCCATTGCTTAAAGAAAAAAAAAGAAAAATGGGTGTTTGCCAAACGGCATGTGGGAGACTCCCCAAACATATGGAAGAAGGTACTCTGGTCAGATTAGACTAAACTTGAGCTTTTTGGCCATCAAGGAAAACGCTATGTCTGGCGCAAGCCCAACACCTCTCATCACCCCGAGAACACCATCCCCACAGTGAAGCATGGTGGTGGCAGCATCATGCTGTGGGGATGTTTTTCATCAGCAGGGACTGGGAAACTGGTCAGAATTGAAGGAATGATGGATGGCGCTAAATACGGGGACATTCTTGAGGGAAACCTGTTTCAGTCTTCCAGAGATTTGAGACTGGGATGGAGGTTCACCTTCCAGCAAGACAATGACCCTAAGCAATAGTTATGCACGCTCAAGTTTTCTGTTTAAAAAAAAATCATATTTCTTGTTTTTTTCACCCCAAAAAATATTTTGCATCTTCAAAGTGGTAGGCATGTTGTGTAAATCAAATGATACAAACCCCCCAAAAATCCATTTTAATTCCAGGTTGTAAGGCAACAAAATAGGAAAAATGCCAAGGGGGGTGAATACTTTGGCAAGCCACTGTACTAGCCTAGGCTACTCTACGCCACTACGCGCTCAGCCAGGCATTGAACAGTCTTTTTTGCGAACAGTGATTAACTTATATTATTAAATAGCTTAAATTATGAGTATCCAATCTACTCATCACATTAGGAATAACGTTAGTAGGCTATCTTACATAAGTCTGCAAACTCGATGATGCATGGAATGCTTTATTTTAAACGTGCATTTTTATGGTGAAAATTCGCTTCGACAAACTTCAAACCACCTATGCCTCTTTCTTTCTTTCTTTCTTTCTTTCTTTCTTTCTTTCTTTCTTTCTTTCTTTCTTTCTTTCTTTCTTTCTTTCTTTCTTTCTTTCTTTCTTTCTTTCTTTCTTTCTTTCTTTCTTTCTTTCTTTCTCTCTCTCTCTCTACTCCTCTGTCAGTGTGTCCGGCAGCAAGTGCACTGTCTGCTTTATGTATTGTATGTGTAGGCGACAGTATGTGACAGATGTTCTAATTATGTCATGGGCAACCCATCCATGAATCACTGTACATCGGCATATGAGAAAACATCTTGTCTACATCCACCTCTTATTTTCTGTCACATTAATCACAGTTATTTTGTGTCTTTGATTGGGTAAGGTTTGCCAAGCTGTTGCTGCGGTTACCAGCCCTGCGCTCCATTGGTCTGAAGTGTCTGGAGCACCTGTTCTTTTTCAAGCTCATCGGGGACACGCCCATCGACACCTTCCTCATGGAGATGCTAGAGGCGCCCCACCAAATTACATAACTGCAGGCGTGGCGTCGCCCATGTTCCCCTTGCCCCCTCCGCCTCTAACCCCTCTGGACACGGAGGGTGGTCCTGCAAACCACTCCCCCTCAAGTGATTATGTGACATCATTGGATCTAGAGAAGTCCCCCCTCTTTGATGTGTTTCAAAAAACAAGTTCAATGTCCATGGGTCTGTTTTATACATTGTACAAATATATATATATATATATATATATATATATATATATATATATATATATATATATATATATATATATATATATATATAACTCATGAGATGAATTAAAAGACAACGATGGGACTGGTGATGAAATGGGCCAAGGAGAAAGGAAGTGTTTTAAGCCATTGTTTTGTAACGTGAAACAACAACCAAGAAGATCAGGTGTTAAAGGTAGGTCTGTTTGCAAGTGTATTTTCAACTGTGGCGGTTTCATCAGCAGCGTAGTAATTGGGACAATCGTGTTTTGGACTTGTTGAAGAGAGGCGGGGCTGCATGGGCAGTCCCTGGCTCTGTTCGGAGGCGTCTCACTTTCAGGACTAACTTAAGGGAGATTGGTACGTTTGCAGAGGGGAGTAACGAAGCCCGGTCATGTCCGGTCCAATCCGTTCAGGTGTTGTCCAGTTTAATCCGGTCAGGTCCGGTTGGGTCTGTTTCGAGGTGTACTGTATGTGTATTGGGAGAGAAGGACTCAGAGGTGGGACCATGCAGATGAACAGTGCTCCACTCAGGTCCCTCAACCCAAACTCAGCCGCTTCTCCATGTCTCCTTATTCTATTAGCACTGTGTGAACATGTGGAGGAGAGACGCTACGTCGCTACATCGGTCTAGTATTCAGAGGCTCAGATAGCTTTAGTGACTGATTGGAGTGAAAGCCTGCAGTGTGGCCCCTTAGGACCAGAGCTGGATGACCTTCATGTGGCCTGAAAAAGCTTTTCTCTGGAACTACTCATTCTGTTGTACTGTACTGACATTAGGGGTAGTGTGTATCTGGATTCACCCTCACATAAGCCCTATACTACATGTGCATTACTGTGTCCTCTGGAAGGTTGACACAGGAAGAAAAGGAAAGCAAACAGATTAACATCGTCATCGCTCTACTACAAGCATTTTTCCTGTCTGTGTTAAGGTGACAACAAAATGAAGAAGAAAAGGACGAATGGTTTGTAGGGAAATACAGTCAGCTGATTTAAACTTTTTAAAGTGATGCCACGTCTTTGTCATGTCATGTGTCCCTCCACCTCTGAGACCATTTGTTTCTGCTCCTTCCCCACTTCTGTGAATTACAGCACACCATAATCAACCTCCACACAGCAACCAAGCATGCTGTTCCTCATGGTGTAACCTAGCTTTAGAATGGCCTTTGACCTGTACAGGATATTTTTCTTTTGCAAAACAATTTGCAATTACCTCTGTTTTCATCCCTCAAACTCTCAGTTCCCCCACCCACCCCCTCTCCCCAGACAGCCCCATGTCAAACAGTTCATGGGAGAAGTGCTTCAATGCAGTCATGTTTATGGTGAGATGTTCTCTTATTTCTTGACACTTTACCTCTGTATTGTGAAGCCCATGCTACTCCATTGCGAGCTCTGGCCCAGACCATCCACTCTGACTGGAGGATGTGGGCCTGGTGAAGAGACAGAGACCCTTGACTGCTCCACTGCCCAGCCTCCCCTCACCGGAATCCACACCCTGCACTTCTCTGGACAACCCAGTTTCATTTAAGTTTAAGTCAAACTGAAATGTTAAATATGTAACATTATGTATAAATCTGCTATATGCCCATATTGCGCATTTTTTTATTTATATGCTGCAGCTGCTGCATAACTATGCATCAAGCATTTTTCCAAAGATTGTCCATAGATAGTGCAGTTTCGTTCTTATTATAAAGGGGTGGTTAAACCCTGTCTTGTAGAACAGCAGACTGCTTTGGATTTCCATCAACTCTAGCAGAGCTCCAGGACCAAGTTTAGCAGCCCACATGATAGCAGACTAGAGAGAGCTAGAGAGAGACTAAAACATTTGCTTTGAGACAGAAGGGTAAACCAGCGAGAATAGGGAACCTGGTGGCCATGGGAGAGCTGTGACTTCCCCCTAGTGGAAGAGATGCACAACTGCTACATTACTTGAATTTTGTACAAGTATTTAATCAGAAAAGGCACTTTTTCATGACATTATCAATATTCATTTTCCTCTTTGGTCAGACAAAATATCAATTGAATAAGTAGCAATAACCACAGCAGGATTGATTGACACATCCTTAGTCCAAATCTAGTTAATGTATTTTAGTGAGGTGAATTAATTTTCATTAGGTCTTATTTTAAACTATTCAGGAAACAGAAATGACTGCCGTGTTCAGGCCAATTCTGTCTAAACAGTATTTTTATCTGGACTAAATGGTAATTGTCAGTCAGGGAAAAACTACTGAAAATGAATTGGCTCATTGTTCAAATGATTCCATCTTAAGCACTAGGAAAGGTAGTTCTCTGGAAATTGCATTCTCTGGAACATGAGGTCAAATCAGACTGCCACCCCAACTAAAAGTTCAGAAAAATAACCACATTTTGATTATTCATTTATTTGCAAACGGTTATCCAACTTTTTAAATGTACACCTAATCCGCTCTCTTGTGTATGATGTCTCCTTTCTGAGCTTGATCGGGTTAATGTGATTTAAGACCACAGGTATATACTGTACGTAAAAGCCATACGCAGATGTGCAAGCTCACTCACTCCTGCAGGAAATGGACAGAAAAGGGTCCTCTGGACTGACATGATTACTTAGATAGAATAAATAGCTAAGAAAAATGCTTCATACACCATAAAGCTCTATTTTGTCTATATGTATATGTGTATATATTTATAAATATATATAAATCTGTTCCGTATGTGTGTCCAGTCAATTTTAGCAAGAGGGAGACAAGTATTTCATTTGAAACTATTCTGAGCCAGGACAGATTCCATAGTGTTATACGCAGTAGTTTTTTGGTGTAAAAAAACTTTTTTGCATTCAACCTTGAGTCTCAAAGTAAATCAACCAGCAGAATACCAGCAGCTCAAAGCCCTAAGAGAAGGTCCCTCACCAGCTAACAGCAGTTATATATGGGACCTGAAAACATAGCAAAAAACCTGGTTAATACACTCAAAAGACATGAAGCCCTCCAAAATCGATTGCTAGGCTATTTGTATGTTCAACAATGTTATCAGGATATGCTGAGCTCATGACACAATCACTGCTTTCTTTGTTGCATAAACAGTAAAATGTAATGAAAAAAACAAACAAAAAAATATATTTTTGTACAAACATAATTTTATCCCTTGCATATGTACTCTGTCCCCCCTCCATTTTCCTCATGTGGGCTGTTGTATACATTGTTTCAGTTAATGTTGATTTGAACTGGGGCAGAAAAAAATCAGACCGTGAATGGTCAGGGTGAGGAGTGGTTGGCAATGACACCCTGATAACTGTCATCTATACTTTGTGGCTTTTTTGGCCTATCGCTACAAGATGGGATTGTCCTCTATTATATTTTCGTCGATTTTTAGGGAGATGGAAAACATCATCTGTTCTTTGTGGGTTATCTGATGTTCTTTCATGGAAAGAAAAAAATTGAAATCTCAAATTAAATCTTGTTGATGCTCCTTTTGTCTTTGTGCTGTTGTGTTGTACTCTCTCCTAATAGGAAATGACATTTACTGTCCTCACTCAAAGTTAAAGGGACTTTGTTTAGAAATTGCCACTGACAACCACATTTTGTACATCTTTATAAAATGCTATTTATTAAGTCACAAGTTATAGCTGTCAAATGCAAATACATATTCACAAAATCCAGATTGACTAAATGCAGATACAGAATTTCATGCAGCCCTTGATACCACTGCAGTGATAAGAGAATCCAGAAGACAGGAAGAGCAGGAAAAATGTCCATGTTGTGTACTGAACTACTAGCTATTAAGACAAAGATAAAGAGAACGATACAGAAAGACAGCTAAAATATTACTTGTCTAACAAATAACAATACATATGTTGATGTAGTAATACAGTATGTACAGCAGAGAGCACATAAAAAAACATGTATTTGGTCACTGTGCTATGAAATCCCCACCAGGTTGTGTTAAACGTAATGACAGCCAGACACACAGTTAGTACCAACTGAAGGACAATGGACTGGAAGCATCTCTAAATTAAAGATTCTAAAATAATCATTCAAATGAAAAACAGCCTCTTTATGGTTAATTTCTTTCTTCACAAACATTACTTTGAATTAACTTCTTGACTATAGCAGGATTGACTTGAGACCAGTAAATGCACTGGCAATACATTTACGTCATTTAGCAGACGCTCTTATCCAGAGCGACTTACAGGAGCAATTAGGGTTAAGTGCCTTGCTCAAGGGCACATCGACAGATTTTTCACCTAGTCGGCTCGGGGATTAGAACCAGCGACCTTTTGGTTACTGCCACAACGCTCTTAACCACTAAGCTACCTGCCGCCCCAATACAGGCAAGTGCACCTTCAATGTAGGCTCTTGTTGATATAGTTCGTAACCCACCATCTCACTGACCTATCACGGTCCCATTTACATCCAATGTGAATTCTAAAAGGCATCAGTTGAACCCCAACACTATTGTACAGAATCAGAATCCATCTTGTAAAATGTAGAAATGAGTTCAAAACAAGGCAGTGCTTGCTGTTTCAGAGCATAGTGTCGATACCAAACTAAATAAACTGTTAGTTGAGTGACTTGTAGAGAAATGGTTGAGAAAAATGCTGTCAACACTATAAACTCCTTCTTGAAATAGACTATATGCCTCTGGAGGAAAACTCAACATGGCTATGGAAATCCACCTGATGGGGACAGAAAACTTACCCAGATGTTTGTCAAAAATTAGTTAAACTCCATTCAATGCATTCTGAGCTTTGAACAGATTCCTTTATAATAAATACAACATAAAACATCAAATGAACCTCAAGTGCTACCATGTATGAAGCTTTTTGTTTCAACACCTCTTCGTACAGACCGTTTAATTACCAATATTGGAAATATGACATAATTATCACTTATCTATTAGCCTGGTCACAGATCTGTCTGTGCTATCATGTCAACTCCATGTTTGGCAAGACAGCACAAACAGATCTGGGTCCAGGCAACTTCTCTACTGCATTCTAATGAGACTTCCAGTTGGTAAAAGTGAGATGTCAAACACCAGTGAAGCAGTCCGTTAGTCTGAAGAAAAAACACCTTACATGGGGGATAGGAGTACTTACTTGAGGCCAATGCAATCTGGCTTAATTGGGGAAATATATTATCAAAACAAAACGTGTATCAGTACTAAAACACCTACACATACAGAGATTAACTCATAAGATACCATATGACTACTTTCCTCATGAATGACAAAAGTTGATTTTCATATTTCAATTGATGAAACACAAACATCCAGCTCACAGTAAGAGTAAGGCAGAGATGGTAGAGCATGTAAGGGCACAAGCAAGACCAAGTAGAGGGTTGTGGTGGTTCGGTTGGGGTTTGATCTGGTTCTGGATGAAGGGAAGGTATGTGGTTGTGGTGATGTTCTGGACTTGCGTTCATTTTGTTCTTCCAGTTGAGGCTCAGTCCTCAAGGCATTCCCGGGCCCAGATCTTTCAGCAGAAAGTCCTCTTTTCTTCAAATGAAAAGTACAAACAAATGAAAATAAAATAAGCACGCCCAGGATCCAGAGGCTTAACAGTCGCTCCTCCACAGTTTGATAGTTTTGTCATTTTCTAGCGCCGCAGACGCAATGATGTTCTCTGTGGGGTGGCAGGCAGTAGAAATCACCACATCTAGACAGAGAGGGTGGGAGGGAGAAGAGAAAAGCAGAGAATTAAACAAAGAGTTGTTGTGAGCAACAGTGTGTTCAAACAGTGAGATTGCCACCATGTATTTCACCTCAAAGTAATAGTAATCAGTTTCATCAACCTCTTGTCATGACTCTCCCCTACCTGTATGGCCCTGTAGTTTCTGTACAATCTCCTTGGTCTGCAGGTTCCAGATGTACACCATGTTGTCCTCCGAGCCAGAGACAATCCACTGTGAGTTACAGACCATGAGAAATAATGATACTTCAGAAGAAGCTATTGGTAAAAGCATACAAGTCATCATCTTGAAAATCTATTTCTAGACATGTATGCAAGAGAGGGGGGATGGGTTTACCTTTCCACCTGTGACAGAGAAATTAGCAAATATGCAGTACTTCTCATTTTTGTGGCCAGTGTATGTTTTCAAGCACTGGAATGAGAGGAGAACACTTATTGAAGAGAACATGTAGAGAATTGAAACATTTCAATCAAGAGCATTCCTATGTTTGGATCAAATTGCAACATGAGTGATAGACATATGACATACACTATATAAACAAAAGTATGAGGACACCCCTTCAAAATAGTGGATTTGGCCATTTCAGCCACACCCGTTGCTGACAAGTGTATAAAATCGAGCACATAGCCATGCAATCTCCATAGCCTTACTCAAGAGCTCAGTGACTTTCAACGTGGCACCGTCATAGGATGCCACCTTTCTAACAAGTCAGTTCGTCAAATTTCTGTCCTGCTAGAGCTGCCCCAGTCAACTGTAAATGCTGTTATTGTGAAGTGGAAACGTCTAGGAGCAACAGCGGCTCAGCCTCGAACTGGTAGGACAAACATGCTCACAGAACGAGCCCGCCGAGTGCTGAAGCGCGTAAAATGTGTCTGTCCTCGGTTGCAACACTCACTACAGAGTTCCAAACTGCCTCTGGAAGTAACTTCCGCACAATAACTGTTCGTCGTGAGCTTCATGAAATGGGTTTCCATGGCCATGCACAATGCCAAGCATCGGTTGAAGTGGTGTAAAGCTCGCCGCCATTGGACTCCAGAGCAGTGGAAACAGTTCTCTGGAGTGATGAATCACGCTTCACCATCTGACAGTCCGACGGACGAATCTGGGGTTTGGCGGATAACAGGAGAACACTACCGACCCCAATGCATAGTGCCAACTGTAAAGTTTGGTGGTGGAGGAGGAATAATGGCCTTGGGCTGTTTTTCATGTTTCCTTCGTTCCAGTGAAGGGATATCTTAATGCTACAGCTTACAATGAAATTCAAAAAGATTCTGTGCTTCCAACTTTTGGCAACAGTTTGGGGAAGGCCCTTTCCTGTTTCAGCATGATAATTCCCCTGTGCACAAAGCGAGGTCCATACAGAAACGGTTTGTCGAGATCGGTGTGGAAGAACTTGACTGGCCTGCACAGAGCCCTGACCTCAACTCCATTGAACACCTTTGAGATTAATTGGAACGCCGACTGCAAGCCAGGCCTAATCGCCCAACCTCACTAATGCTTGTGGCTAAATGGAAGAAAGTCCCCGTAGCAATGTTCCAACATCTAGTCGAAAGCCTCCCAGAGGAGTGGAGGCTGTTATAGCAGCAAAGGGGGGACCAACTCCATATTAATGCCCATGATTTTGGAATGAGATGTTTGACAAGCAGGTGTCCACATACACACTACATTACCAAAAGTATCTTACCTTTCCTTTGCTGTAGTCCCAAAGCTTCAGGGTGCTGAAAAACAAAAACAACTCACTGTTAGAAGACAGCATCCCAAAAGAAACAATAGCGAATAATTCATTTGCATTCACGAGTGATGAAGAAGCTTTTCTTTGTAGATTTGCTTCTGCATTCCTTCCCATTCAAATGAAACTCTTTGGTCCAATGGTACTGGACAGTCTAATAGGCCCCTCTACTGGTGCAGTACTGCATGACAAAGACCCTATGGTACATGTCATAGCCTACTACATTTGAGGGAAAGTGACAGTGCTCTACTGATAATCTTACACTCACTTGTCCAATGTGGCTGCCAGAATGTATTTGCCGTTTGGTGAGAACTTCACAAATGACACCGGGGGGTTGTCATCATCTGCAAAAGCCAGAAAATGAAGAATTTACTCACAGAAAAATACTATAAAATGTGATATTGCCTATATATTTTTTAAGCCTACTAGAAAGTGTGTGCCCTCAGGCCTGGAGGGAAGATAAAGTTATTCCCCTACCTAAGAATAGTAAAGCCACCTTAACTGGCTAAAATAGCCGACCAATCAGCCTGTTACCAACCCTTAAAACTTCTTGGAAAAATGGTTTGACCAGATAAAATGCTATTTTACAGTAAACAAATTGACAACATACTTTCAGCACACTTATAGGGAAGGACATTCAACAAGCACAGAACTTACACAAATGACTGATGATTGGCTGAGAGAAATGTATGACAGAAAAGATTGCGGGAGCGGTTTTGTTAGACTTCAGTACGTATGTGTTATGGCTTTACACCCCCTGCTATATTGTGGATAAAGAGTTACCTGTCTAACAGAACACAGAGGGTGTTCTTTAATGGAAGCCTCTCAAACAAAATCCAGGTAGAATCAGGAATTCCCCAGGGCAGCTGTCTAGGCCCCTTACTTTTTTCAATCTTTACTAACGACATGACACTGTGTCTATGTATGCGGATGACAACACTATACACGTCAGCTACCACAGCGACTGAAATGACTGCAACACTTAACAATGAGCTGCAGTTAGTTTCAGAATGGGTGGCAAGGAATAAGTTAGTCGTAAATATTTCAAAACTAAAAGCATTGTATTTGGGACAAATCATTCACTAAACCCTAAACCTCAACTAAATCTTGTAATGAATAATGTGGAAATTGAGCAAGTTGAGGAGACTAAATTGCTTGGAGTAACCCAGGATCATAAACTGTCATGGTCAAAACATATTGATACAACAGTAGCTAGGATGGGGAGAAGTCTGTATATCATAAAGCGCAGCTCTGCATTCTTAACAGCACCATCAACAAAGCAGGTCCCTGCAGGCCCTAGTTTTGTCGCACCTGGACTACTGTTCAGTCGTGTGGTCAGGTGCCACAAAGAGGGACTTAGGAAAATTGCAATTGGCTCAGAACAGGGCAGCACGGCTGGCCCTTGGATGTACACAGAGAGCTAACAATAATATGCATGTCAATATCTCCTGGCTCAAAGTGGAGGAGAGATTGACTTCATCACTACTTGTATTTGTGAGAGGTATTGACATGTTGAATGCATGAGCTGTCTGTTTGAACTACTGGCACACAGCTCGGACACCCATGCATACCCCACAAGACATGCCACCAGAGGCCTCTTCACAGTTCCCAAGTCAAGAACAGACTATGGGAGGCGCACAGTACTACATAGAGCCATGACTACATGGAACTCTATTCCACATCAAGTAACTCATGCCAGCAGTAAAAATATATTTTGAAAAAACATCTTATGGAACAGCGGGGACTGTGAATCAACACAAACATAGACACATGCATACAGTCACACAATAACATACGTACTATACACACATGTACACATGGAATTTGTGTTATATATACACTACCAGTCAGAATTTTGGACACCTACTCAATCAAGGATTTTTCCTAATGTTTTTACATTGTAGAATAATAGTGAAGCCATCACAACTATTAAAGAACACATATGTAATCATGGAGTAACCAAAAAAGTGTTAAACAAATCAAAATATATTTTATATTTGAGATTCTTCAAATAGCCACCCTTTGTCTTGATGACAGCTTTGCACACTCTTGGCATTCTCTCACTTAACATGTGTAAATATTTGTATGAACATAACAAGATTCAACAGCAGACATAAACTGAACAAATTCCACAGACATGTGACTAACAGAAATTGAATAATGTGTCCCTGAACAAAGGGGGGGTCAAAATAAAAAGTAACAGTCAGTATCTGGTGTGGCCACTAGCTGCATTGAGTACTGCAGTGCATCTCCTCCTCATGGACTGCACCAGATTTGCCAGTTCTTGCTGTGAGATGTTACCCCACTCTTCCACTAAGGCACCTGCAAGTTCCCGGACATTTCTGGGGGGATGGCCCTAGCCCTCACCCTCCGATCCAACAGGTCCCAGACGTGCTCAATGGGATTGAGATCCGGGCTCTTCGCTGGCCATGGCAGAACACTGACATTCCTGTCTTGCAGGAAATCACGCACAGAACGAGCAGTATGGCTGGTGGCATTGTCATGCTGGAGGGTCATGTCAGGATGAGCCTGCAGGAAGGGTACCACATGAGGGAGGATGTCTTCCCTGTAACGCACAGCGTTGAGATTGCCTGCAATGACAAGCTCAGTCCGATGATGCTGTGACACACCACCCAGACCATGACAGACACTCTACCTCCAAATCGATCCCGCTCCAGAGTACAGGCCTCAGTGTAACGCTCATTCCTTCGACGATAAACGCAAATCCGACCAACACCCCTGATGAGACAAAACCGCGACTCGTCAGTGAAGAGCACTTTTTGCCAGTCCTGTCTGATGCCGGTGATGTCTGGTGAGGACCTGCCTTACCGCCTATTGCGGACAGTCTGAGCACTTATGGAGGGATTGTGCATTCCTGGTGTAACTCGGGCAGTTGTTGTTGCCATCCTGTACCTGTCCCGCAGGTGTGATGTTCGGATGTACCGATCCTGTGCAGGTGTTGTTACACATGGTCTGCCACTGCGAGGACGATCAGCTGTCCATCCTGTCTCCCTGTAGCGCTGTCTTAGGCGTCTCACAGTACAGACATGGCAATTTATTGCCCTGGCCACATCTGCAGTGCCTCCTTGCAGCATGCCTAAGGCATGTTCACGCAGATGAGCAGGGACCCTGGGCATCTTTCTTTTGGTGTTTTTCAGAGTCTGTAGAAAGGCCTCTTTAGTGTCCTAAGTTTTCATAACTGTGACCTTAATTGCCTACCGTCTGTAAGCTGTTAGTGTCTTAACGACCGTTCCACAGGTGCACGTTCATTAATTGTTTATGGTTCATTGAACAAGCATGGGAAACAGTGTTTAAACCCTTTACAATGAAGATCTGTGATGTTATTGGGATTTTTACTAATTATCTTTGAAAGACAGGGTCCTGAAAAAGGGACCTTTCTTTTTTTGCTGAGTTTATATATGTGTGTGGTAATAGAGTATAGGCCTGAGGGCACACACTTAATTAGTTGTGAAATCTGTTATGAATGTATTGTAATGTTTTTTAAATGTATAACTGCCTTAATTTTGCTGGACCCCAGGAAGAGTAGTGGGGATCCATAATAAATACAAATATATGACACAGATGCCACAATTCTGGCTGGTGAAGCTTACCAATTAGTGTTTTCAGACACTGTCCTGATGCGGTGTCCCAGATCCGGCTAAGGACAGACAAGAGATATTAAGGTTGATACAGTGTCATACATTTCTCAAACAATATCACAAATTATATAATGATTTAATACATCCAAATAATACTTCAATACTCCTCATATTTATGTTACATTGACCATCATTAAAACTAGACTCACAAAATGCCTCTAAGGGAATATCTTTGCCAAGTACATTCAACAAAACAGGGGAGAAAGTGTTAATTTCCCTCACCAGAGGCCATCGTAGCTGCTGGACACAATCAGTGAGCCATCTCTGTTGAAATGGACCTGCATGGCAATATAGATTAGAGATCTATTCACACTTACCAGAGGGTGTGATAATGAACTACTATTTGCTCATAAGCAGAAAATCAATGATCTGAAGTAGATTGTTATTAGCTTCATATAAGGTGTCCACATGCACAGATGGGTGCAGTACTTACAGCAGAGACGGGGTCGGAGTGGGCCGGCAGGGTCTTCAAGCATTTGCCAGTTTTTACATCCCATATCCGCACACTCTCGTCAAACTAGAAGAAAACAATTCATGTTAGCACACAACCACACAACAAATATTCATCCCTCCTTGATGGAAATCAGGGTTAGCAATAACCTTCTCTATGTAAACATATACAATAGGAATTCTGCATTAGTGTATTAGTAGGTAGGACTCACCGATCCAGACACGATGAGATTGGACTGGGGGTTGAAGTTGCAGCAGAAGACATAGTTGCTGTGGCCTTTTAACGTCTTCAAGCATTTCCCCTGCAATAAGGAAAGGATTGGGTTTAAATTAAACATGTTCACGGTAAGAGCTCATTATGGTCGATCAAGCATCCACGGCATGGAGGGCCCCGAATCAGCGATTATGATGTATTTGCAGAGGAAACAGTTAGCGCAATGACATGCTAGCTGTTCCGTTACACTTCCAGTCATTCCGCTAACTCTAGTGAGCATTGGCTCACGAAAATATATCTAACTTCCTTCGTACTGGACGCATAGAGATAAAAATGGTATCCATGAGTTCATCTGACTCTGTTGACGGCATGTCTTGGCCGAAAAATGAATCTGTATGCGATGGAAATTTTGATCATGTGAGTGAAAACACAGCCTTGAAAATGTTCATATTGTCTTAGTGTCATAAATATTCCTTGGTTCCTGCCTGTGCTTGGTAAGGGGGGGGGGGGGACCATCTGACAGAACGCCCAGAATTTGTTCGATAAGTTAAGATAAGAGACGGTGCCAGACACATGCCGGAACCAACCCTATGAACTATGCCTATGTAACGTGTCTGTAACCAGTATGTAAGAGATCTAACGAACTGTCCCGTTAGAGCTCCTGATCGACATGTGTACTTGGTGCATTGAGTTGGTTGAAACCTCTCCAGCGCGCTGATAAAAGAACAATTCATTTAAGATTGACTTCAAGTGTCCCTGTGTAGAATTTCCACAACACGTATTAACTAGCTGCAGAGAACGAATGCTACCCTGTGGTGCTAAATATCTCTGATTAAAGCCAGTACATTTTTTAGGGATGAGAGCTGCTCCCTTCAGGCAGACACTACCTCAAATCCCCTGGCAAGAGTCATAGAAGCAGGAAGTCCTTTATCCCTGCAGTCATTGAGGGTTTCATTTGAATACAAGTATACACTTTATGGAAAATACATGTTTCTGAACGATGCATCATGCTGCCTTGTTGACAATGACCCGGTGGCACAGATTCATGTTCGATTTGAGCAGTGTGCTCCGTCCTCACCGGTTTTAGCCGGTCACGTGGCGGGCCGTAGCCCGGTGGACCCCAGTTCCGTCTAATCAAATTCCTTCATTACTCTTATGAACAAAACCTGACATTGAAAAAAGAAAAATACATCTTCAAAAACATAGTATCTGCACTGAATGCTAAGCACTTTATCCCAGTCCTTCCAGTGCAATTTCTATACAGACTTATTTGGTAATATGTATTTGCTGTTGAATCAATGTTGTCATGTCTTTTATTTTTATTTATTTTTTAAGCCAGGCCCCCGAGCCATCCCGTTCTAAGCCAATGACCAGTCATTTTACATCAACAATCTAACATTCTAATAAATACATTTCATATCTGCCAATTAATTTCCATCAATGTTGCGTTTGTCTCACTTACTTTGTGTAGCCAGTTAGTGATAATGATAACTGTCTTCTGGGTAGACAAAGACTTTCCCAAAAACCTTCTCTATTAAATGTTAACAGAAAAGTAGGCTTATCTGGCAGAATTATCATTTTTATCAATCCGGAGGGCTTTTGTTTTGGAAATTCTGTCATGACATATGCAGCAGCAAAAACATCACTAGACCAGCACAATCCTCTCACAAAATGAGGAATTAAAGGGGTATTTCACTTTTTATTTTGTTAGTTTTTTCCCCAACCCTCAAAAATGGACTTCTGATGTGATTTAAGCATTGACATGGACAGAACATCCAATTGTATTGTTTCTCTATAAATAATTGTAATTGAGCATGAAAACTGAAAAAAATAAAACGTGCCTATTTGAAAGCCAGGAAACAATTATGAGCAGCTTGCGACATGTTTCAAAGCGTAAAAGGACCTCTCATGCTCAGTTGGTAGAGCATGGCGCTTGCAACGTCAGGGTTGTGGGTTCGTTTCCCACGGGGGGCCAGTATGAAAATGTATGCACTCACTAACTGTAAGTCGCTCTGGATAAGAGCGTCTGCTAAATGACTAAAATGTAAATGTAATGCTAGAAAAGGTTGGAGACCCCTGCCTTAGAATATGCTCTTTCCAGTAGGTAATATAAATTTAAAATGTCTGACCGGCATGAACCTCTAGGATTATTTTAAAGTCACTTTTTGGTAAACTCCAGTCCGGGGGGAACATGACTTTAAAAACAGATATTACAAATGTAAATTCATACGACGTCAAAATAACGCTCTCTGCGCTTCTAGTGTTAAACTGTCGCAAACCAATTTTCCATTGTGGGACAATAAAGTGAAATACTTCTAGTACTATATTTCTGAGAAAAAAACTCCCCATCCTGCCTCTCTTACCGAGCTGACGTCCCAGATCTTTAGAGTCTTGTCGTCAGATGCTGAAACAAGGAGGTTGGAGTCTGAGGACCAGGCGACATCCGAGATCCCCTGCAGATAACAAGTGAAAGGTCAACTTGGTTAGTCACACTAAAAGCACTCATCATGGCAGTGAAACAAATAAAGTGCCTTCAAAGTATTCACAGCTCTTGACTTTTTCCACATTGTTGTGTTACAGCATGAATTTAAAATTGATTAAATTGAGATTCTGTGTCTCTGGCCTACACACAATACCCCATAATGTCAAAGTGAAATTATGTTTAGACATTTTTACAAATTATAAAAAAATTAAAAAATGTAATGTCTCACGTCAACAAGTATTCAACCCCTTTGTTATGGCAAGCCTAAATAAGTTCAGGGGTAAAAATGTGCTTAACAAGTCACATAATAAGTTGCATGGACTCACTGTGTGCAATAGTGTTTAACATTATTTTTAAATGACTACCTCATCCCTGTACCCCACACATACAATTATCTGTAAGGTCCCTCAGTTGAGCAGTGAATTTCAAACACAGATTCAACCACAAAGACCATGGAGGTTTCCAATGCCTTGCAAAGAAAGGCACCTATTGGTAGATGGGTAAACATTTAAAAAAGCAGACGTTGAACCATCCTTTGAACATGGTGAAGTTATTAATTACTCTTGGGATGGGCATCAATACACCCAGTCACTACAAAGATACAGGTGTCCTTCCTAACTCAGTTGCCGGGGAGGAAGGAAACCACTCAGGGATTTCACCATGAGTCCAATGGTGACTTTAAAAACGTTAGAGTTTAATGGCTGTGTTAGGAGAAAACTCAGGATGGATCAACATTGTAGTTACTCCACAATACTAACCTAATTGACAGAGTGAAAAGAAGGAAGCCTGTACAGAATAAAAATATTCCAAAACATGCATCCTGTTTGCAACAAGGCACTAAAGTAATACTGCAAAATGTGGCAAAGCAATTAACTTTTTGTCCTGAATACAACGCGTTATGTTTGGGGCAAATCCAATAGAAAACATTACTGAGTACCACTCTCCATATTTTCAAGCATAGTGGTGGCTGCATCATGTTATGGGTATGCTTATCATCATTAAGGACTGGGGAGTTTTTCAGGATAAAAACAATTAACGGAATGGAGCTAAGCACAGGCAAAACCCTAAAAGGAAAACCTGGTTCAGTCTTATTTTCCATCAGACACTGGGAGATGAATTCACCTTTCAGCAGGACAATAACCTAAAACACAAGGCCAAATCTACACTGGAGTTGCTTACCAAGAATACAGTGTATGTTCCTGAGTGGCCAAGTTACAGTTTTGACTTAAATATACTTGGAAATCTATGGCAAGACCTGAAAATGGTTGTCTAGCAATGATCAACAACCAATTTGACAGAGCTTGAAGAATTTTGAAAAGCATAATGGGCAAATGTTGCACAAACCAGGTGTGGAAAGCTCTTAGAGACTTACCCAGTGAGATTCACATCTGTAATCACTGCCAAAGGTGCTTCTACAAAGTTTTGACTCAGGGGTGTGAATATTTATGTAAATTAGACATCTGTATTTAATTTTCAATTAATTTGTAAACATTTCAAAAACATGTTTTCACTTTGTCATTATGGGGTAGTGTGTGTACATTGGTGAGACATAACATTTGTATTTATCCATTTTGAATTCAGACTGTAACAAAATGTGGAATGTCAACGGGTATGAATACTTTTTCAAGGCACTGTACATAATCATTACAAATAATATAATGGAAACGTGAACTCACAAGTTTGTGTCCCGATATTGTTTTCTCAAACTTTCCATCGTAAGCTCCCCAAATTTTGATCAGTTTGTCAGCAGCTGTAAAACAGATATTTCAAGGCAGCCTTTTCAACTGAAACGTAGTGTTATCATGCAAGATTTCAACAGATAATTTACATTGAAAGGACATTGCACTTAAAGCAGAGATCTGCGAGTGGCAAAACAGCGCCACTGGCTGCCCCAGGTGCATTTGTTATTGTTTTGAGTAAATGTGAATCCAGCATTGTGGTTAAAAAAAATGAATCGTAGTACATACTCTGCTGTTCTATCGCGCTTGCAATAATGTGCAATGATGTTTGAAGTAACGTCTTTGTTGTTGTAATATCGCAAACGGACGTGGTAGTTTCACTGCTATGGATTGCAGCTTTAAATGACATTTTATTGTAACAACTTGTGCATGCACTGTGATCAGGCCTAATAGTAGTATTCAGTAGACTTACTGTTCTAAGACCACCTAAAGCACTCATCATAAACTTACATGAACTGGCAAGCCACTCTCCACTGGGACTGAACTTGACAGACGAAACTGCTTTTGTGTGGCCGGCTAATGTGAATTTCAGGGTGTAGTTGGGCTTGACTGGTGCCGACTAAATAGGGGAAGAAAACAAACAAAACCACATTGGAACAGGAAAGCAGTTCAGTTGACATCTGTAGATGCATTTAAGGCAATTTTCATTAAAAAAGGATTTGACATCATGAAAATAGCAGAGACAACGTATAGTACCAGTCAAAAGTTTGGATACACTTACTCATTCAAGGGTTTTTCTTTAATTTTTTACTGTTTTCAAAATTGTAGAATAATAGTGAAGAGATCAAAACTATGACATAACACATATGGAATCATGTAGTAACCAAAAAAGTGTTAAACAAATCAAAATAGATTATTCAAATAGCCACTCTTTGCCTTGATGACAGCTTTGCACACTCTTGGAATTCTCTCAACCAGCCTCATGAGGAATGCTTTTCTAACAGTCTTGAAGAAGTTCGCACATATGCTGAACACTTGTTGGCTGCTTTTCCTTCACTCTGCGGTCCAACTCATCCCAAACCATCTCAAATTGGGTTGAGGTCAGGTGATTGTGGAGGCCAGGTCATCTGATGCAGCACTCCATCACTCTCCTTCTTGGTCAAATAGCCCTTACACAGCCTGGATGTGTGTTGGGTCATTGTCCTGTTGAAAAACGAATGATTGTCCCACTAAGCCCAAACCAGATGGGATGGCGTATCGCTGCAGAATGCTGTGGTAGCCATGCTGGTTAAGTGTGCCTTGAATTCTAAATACACTGCTCAAAAAAATTAAGGGAACACTTAAACAACACAATGTAACTCCAAGTCAATCACACTTCTGTGAAATCAAACTGTCCACTTAGGAAGCAACACTGATTGACAATAAATGTAATATGCTGTTGTGCAAATGGAATAGACAACAGGTGGAAATTATAGGTAATTAGCAAGACACCCCCAATAAAGGAGTGGTTTAGCAGGTGGTGACCACAGACCACTTCTCAGTTCCTATGCTTCCTGGCTGATGTTTTGGTCACTTTTGAATGCTGGCGGTGCTTTCACTCTAGTGGTAGCATGAGACGGAGTCTACAACCCACACAAGTGGCTCAGGTAGTGCAGCTCATTCAGGATGGCACATCAATGCGAGCTGTGGCAAGAAGGTTTGCTGTGTCTGTCAGCGTAGTGTCCAGAGCATGGAGGCGCTACCAGGAGACAGGCCAGTACATTAGGAGACATGGAGGAGGCCGTAGGAGGGCAACAACCCAGCAGCAGGACCGCTACCTCCGCCTTTGTGCAAGGAGGAGCACTGCCAGAGCCCTGCAAAATGACCTCCAGCAGGCCACAAATGTGCATGTGTCTGCTCAAACGGTCAGAAACAGACTCCATGAGGGTGGTATGAGGGCCCGACGTCCACAGGTGGGGGTTGTGCTTACAGCCCAACACCGTGCAGGACGTTTGGCATTTGCCAGAGAACACCAAGATTGGCAAATTCGCCACTGGCGCCCTGTGCTCTTCACAGATGAAAGCAGGTTCACACTGAGCACGTGTGACAGACGTGACAGAGTCTGGAGACGCCGTGGAGAACGTTCTGCTGCCTGCAACATCCTCCAGCATGACCGGTTTGGCGGTGGGTCAGTCATGGTGTGGGGTGGCATTTCTTTGGGGGGCCGCACAGCCCTCCATGTGCTCGCCAGAGGTAGCCTGACTGCCATTAGGTACTGAGATGAGATCCTCAGACCATATGCTGGTGCGGTTGGCCCTGGGTTCCTCCTAATGCAAGACAATGCTAGACCTCATGTGGCTGGAGTGTGTCAGCAGTTCCTGCAAGAGGAAGGCATTGATGCTATGGACTGGCCCGCCCGTTCCCCAGACCTAAATCCAATTGAGCACATCTGGGACATCATGTCTCGCTCCATCCACCAACGCCACGTTGCACCACAGACTGTCCAGGAGTTAGCGGATGCTTTAGTCCAGGTCTGGGAGGAGATCCCTCAGGAGACCATCCGCCACCTCATCAGGAGCATGCCCAGGCGTTGTAGGGAGGTCATACAGGCACGTGGAGGCAACACACACTACTGAGCCTCATTTTGACTTGTTTTAAGGACATTACATCAAAGTTGGATCAGCCTGTAGTGTGGTTTTCCACTTTAATTTTGAGGGCGACTCCAAATCCAGACCTCCATGGGTTGATACATTTGATTTCCATTGATAATTTTTGTGTGATTTTGTTGTCAGCACATTCAACTATGTAAAGAAAAAAGTATTTAATAAGATTATTTCATTCATTCAGATCTAGGATGTGTTATTTTAGTGTTCCCTTAATTTTTTTGAGCAGTGTATATCACCGACAGTGTCACCAGCAAAGCACCCCCACACCACCTCCTCCATGCTTCACGATGGGAACCACACACGCGGAAATCATCCGTTCACCTACTCTGCGTCTCACAAAGACAGCGGTTGGAACCATAAATCTCAAGTTTGGACTCATCAGACTAAAGGACAGATTTCCACCAGTCTAATGTCCATTGCTCATGTTTCTTGGCCCAACCAAGTCTCTTCTTATTGGTGTCCTTTAGTAGTGGTTTATTTGCAGCAATTTGACCATGAAGGCCTGATTCACGCAGTCTCTTCTGAACAGTTGATGTGTGTTTCTTGAACTCTGAAGCATTTATTTGGGCTGCAATTTCTGAGGCTGGTAACTAATGAACTTATCCTCTGCAGCAGAGGTAACTCTGGGTCTTCCTTTCCTGTGGTGGTCCTCATGAGAGACAGTTTGTTCATAACGCTTGATGTTTTTTGCGACTGCAATTGAAGAAACTTTCAAAGTTCTTGAAATGTTCCAGATCGACTGACCTTCATGTCTTAAAGTAATGATGGACTGTCGTTTCTCTTTGATTATTTGAGCTGTTCTTGCCATAATATGGACTTGGTCTTTTACCATATTGGGCAATCTTCTGTATACCACCCCTACCTTGTCACAACACAACTGATTGGCTCAAACGCATTAAGGAAAGAAATTCCACAAATTAACTTTTAAGAAGGTGCACCTGTTAATCGAAATGCATTCCAGGTGACTACCTCATGAAGCTGGTTGAGAGAATGCCAAGAGTGTGCAAAGCTGTCATCAAGGCAAAGGGTGGCTATTTGAAGAATCTCAAATATAAAATATATTTTGATTTGTTTAACACTTTTTTGGTTACTACATGATTTCATATGTGTTATTTCATAGTTTTTACATCTTCACTATTATTCTTCATTATAGAAGAATGCAGAGGATAAGTTCATTAGAGTTATCAGCCTCAGAAATTTCAGCCCAAATAAATGCTTCACAGAGTTCAAGTAACAGCCACGTCTCAACATCAACTGTTCAGAGGGGACTGTGTGAATCAGGCCTTCATGGTTGAATTGCTGAAAAGAAACCACTACTAAAGGACACCAATAAGAAGAAGATACTTGTTTGGGCCAAGAAACACTAGCAATGGACATTAGACTGGTGGAAATCTGTCCTTTGGTCTGATGAGTCCAAATTTGAGATTTTTGGTTCCAACTTCCGTGGCTTTGTGAGACACGTGTGGGTGAATGGATCATCTCTGCAGGTGTATTTCCCACCGTAAAGCATGGAGGAGGTGGTGTTATGGTGTGGGGGTGCTTTGTTGGCGACACGGTCTGTGATTTATTTATAATTCAAGGCACACTTAACCAGCATGGCTACCACAGCATTCTGCAGTGATACGCCATCCCATCTGGTTTGGGTTTAGTGGGACTATCATTTGTTTTTCAACAGGCCAATGACCCAACACACCTCCAGGCTGTATAAGGGCTATTTTACCAAGAAGGAGATGGAGTGCTGCATCAGATGACCTGGCCTCCACAATCCCCCGACCTCAACCAAATTGAGATGGTTTGGGATGAGTCGGACCACAGAGTGAAGGAAAAGCAGCCAACAACTGCTCAGCATATGTGGGAACTCCTTCAAGACTGTTGGAAAAGCTGGTTGAGAGAATGCCAAGAGTTTGCAAAGCTGTCATCAAGGCAAATGGTGGCTATTTAGAAGAATCTCAAATATAAAAAATATTTTGATTTGTTTAACACTTTTTTGGTTACTACATGATTCCATGTGTTATTTCATAGTTTGATGTCTTCACTATTATTCTACAATGTAGAAAATAGTAAAAATCAAAACCCTTGAATGAGTAGGGGTTCTAAAACTTTTGAACGGTAATGTATGTTAGCTAGCTAATATAGCAATGTTATGAATACAACTCCCATCTGTGGTCGACGACAGGATACAATTTGAGAGCAATAACGTTAGTTATCTCCAAAAGTGATTGACTGCACGCTGACAGTGATTTCAGTGCCATTCAGTGGCTAGCTACACTACAAACATTATTTTACCAGGTTCCTGTGAAGCAATTGTAATGACAGTCCACCACAACATACCCAAGTGTTTCCTGATTAGCAGGGGGTCGTCTGAATCAGAGAGAATGTTGAATTTTAGAATAATTAGAAACACAGTTTGAGATCGTGAGGAGATCTCGCCAGTGGTTGAATGGGGAATTGGGCTTCCAGGGAAAATGTTGTCCGAGGTTGCAACAGTAACCATGGGGGGCGGGCTTAGCGAAGGGTCAATAGGCATGGCATTGAATGAGAGGGTGTGGCCCTTAGACCTTTACCATCATGCAAGGTTGCAACCTCCTAGGCCTTACCATCTCACAGGAATTTGGTCCTCTGTAGCTCAATTGGTAGAGCATGGCGCTTGTAATGCCAGGGTAGTGGGTTCGATCCCCGGGACCACCCATACGTAAACATGTATGCACACATGACTGTAAGTCACTTTGGATAAAAGCATCTGCTAAATGGCATATTTTTATTATTTACTTTTTTTCACCAAATTGGCAGAAGGAAAATAATAATAATCAACCCTAAATACAATAGTGTTTCACCCAGCTTTGCTGCTTGGACCCCTAAAAACAGTCGTATTAGGGCTAGCTTGAACCCATACCTTGCTCTGGCTGGCAGATGCAGATGATGTTTTAGTGGCCTCAGTTTCTGGTTTCTTCTCCTCTGTTGCCATGGTGATAGTGCTGAGGGGGGATGGGGATCAGTTAGTGAAAGCACGCTGGACAACCAGTCTGCAAAAGTGGATTGCAATTTCATAATGTCAAGTGAAATGCAAGGATAGGAAATTGTATAGATACAACACAAGACCAATGTAAGTTGCTACCCTGACAGCTAGGTTAACGTTAGCATGTAGATGAAGATTACAATATTGGATATGATATTGAAACCTAGGTACAATTATGTTAGTAACGTAAATTACCACCACATATCAAGCTAGCTAGCTTCCTACCCAGTCATGGCTGGCACAATGTAACTAGCTAAATAGTTAGCTGAATAGCTAGCTAGCCTGGTGAAATAGTGTTAATAGCTAGCTCTATGTTAGCAAGCTAGCTAACTGCCATTGCAAGTAAACAAATGACCATGAGTTAGCCAGTTAGCCTCACATTTACCGCAGTTGTGGAAGCTAACGTTCGATAGCCCCACTATGGACGGACACAGGGCGTCTTTCTAGCTAGCTAATGTTGTTCGCGAACATTCGTGTGCGTGTTGTTGGTGATAATGGTTTTATTCCAGGTATTGTATGAATCCTACCATTCGAAAGATAGTTAGCTAGTTAATTTGGCTAGCTAGTAAGTTTACGTTATGCACATGCAATATAAACTCTGCTAGCTAACACTAGCTACTCCATTCAAACAATACAATCGGGGAGACTCACCGTAAGGCCCGATGTTAAACTGTAATTGCGCGGCCGACTATTTTCATTTAGGCACAAATCTGATCAATTACACGAATATATTTACCATATGAATACGGTTGAATCTATGTTCTCCCTAACTGAGCAAGGAAAAAATCAAGGGCCAGTTCGTTTCAGTTTAGCCAGGTCTCAAGCGGGGAATGTGGCAGTGAAGACGCCCATTGCGCATGTGTGCTTCTTCAAGAGCGCACAATCAGAGAGGAAGAGAAGAGCCCAACTACGCGGAAAATCAGTCTCCCTCCAGCAGGTGACGTTTTTTCGCCCACCAAGTTTTTGTTTGGAGGTCAATGAGTGTCGAACTTGGTCAACAAAAAAAAATAATGGATTATTTACTACGTGAGGTTTATTTGATCGAATAGAAGTTTCGTAACGCTTAAGTTGTTTTGAGTGTACTGATATAAGTAAGACACGTGACATCCCGGCAACTATAGGTACAACTATAAGCCCTCCTGTAGCTCAGTTGGTAGTGCATGGCGCTTGCAACGCCAGGGTTGTGGGTTCGATTCCCACCGGGGGCCAGTATGAAAAATTTATGCATTCACTAACTGTGAGTCACTCTGGATAAGAGCGTCTGCTAATTGACTAAAATGTAAATGTAACTATGAGAAAAAACACTTTATATCAGAGTTATATCAGTCTCGAGATGGCTATGTATATTCATGACATGAGGCTAGTAGCATAGCATCTCTCTCCATTGAATAGAGGCGGTTGACGTCAACAACCCTCATCGAATATTCAAAAAGTAATCTGAAAAGTATGAGTTGTCAGTATATTCCAAAATCTTTGATAGTAGTATTAAATGCATTATACACTTTGTATAAGGTGTATAATGCATGTTGTGGGGGCGTAGTCTTCAGATCCAGTAAATTGATCACAAACCGCGCGCCATTGCGCATGAGCAAGGGACTTGGTATACCTCATCTTTATGCTACTCCTGTACTTGTTCGGCCGCACTCAAATAAAACAGGAGCCACTCGGACTACCAGGTGAAAGGCAAAACCCCTAGGAGGCATCAAGGAAGTAATGCATTCAGATATTTATATTTCCCCATACTGGAGTTTCTTTAGCGAAAAAAATGCACCATTCATAATTGAGCTATTTCAATGTTATGAAAAATGTGGTGCTGAAACGCTTGCTAGCATATCAACTAAGCTAGCTAGCATGCCAATGTTTTTAAACAAAACTCCATTCTGTGCATTGCAACAATACAACGTCAATTCTTGTCTTAAGTGAAATATTGTGGCAATGTTAAAATAAGAGTTTGTAACCAGTGTTTATTGTGGGTACATACGCAGTTGTGGTAGTAATGCAGGCTATCGCTTAAACTATTCGTAAAGTCGGGTGAAATTATATCGGCTGCTGCTAGCTAGCTAACTAGCGAAAGCTAAAGGGTAATATCATCTGCCCGCCATCTTTTTGGAGAATGTGTTGCAACGTAGCCCATTATAACAACTATTTGGTTTTGGTGTATTCATGTTTTACTAGCTAGTCATGGTTTGTACGCCACTTAATATACATACATGTTTTATGCGCTAGCTGATAGCTACACTGCACTGGTTTGCACTTGCAACCACGGAGTGGAAATTAGAGTCCGCGCGAATTGTTCCAAAAGTGTCAAAGCACCCTTACATTTAACCCGCGCATGATGGCTAGCATAGTTTGCAAAGTTACATGCGTTTTGTTAAACACATATCATAGTTAACTAGCTAGATTAGTTACCTGATTGCAATATTTTGCCATAAGATGCCGTAACGTTATGGTATTGTAAAAAACTATTTTTTTGCTAGCCAGCTACGGTTAGTGTAGTTTATTTGATTGTTTACGCGGGAGGCAGTACAAAGCTAGCTAAGTGCTAGCTGGCCAGATACACTTTCCACGGACACACAAATATATGTTGTGCGTGTAACTTTAAAGCCAGTAGCTACGACAAGACGCTGAACGAGATACAGAACAAGATTTATCTGGGAAGTTTTCTTTCTTGGAAGTGTCCTTAGTTCAGATGGCATTACCACAAAACGTTATACAGCAATTCAACTGCTCGGCGTGAGAATTGTATCTAAATCAGCTGTGCTGTTGTCTCTCAGCTTTGCAGTTTGTTTGGGTATGTATGGGATGAAATGTGTGGTTGCTATGGTTAATTACCACACCATCTCTCGCTGGTTATTTCGATAAGTTGTTTAGAGTTATTTTGTGTTACAGCTAATATTGACTTGTACCTTTGCTCCCTGCACTGTTGCATGATCGCTGTACCTAATGTACCAAACACAATTCTATGGTCAAAGGAAAATGGTAATGCCAGACCAAGACCAAGCTGCAGGAGGTGCAGGCTGCAGATTGGGGTCTAGACAATGTCCCTTAAGCCTGGAGAGGTCAACACATCTCTCCAGGGACACATTAGCCAGCTGTCTGTCAGGAGACATTTGTCCATTACAATATATAGAATAATTGTGTGGTGATATAGAAAATGGTCTAGTTTCTTATCAGAATTGCTACCTGTCATGTCGTCCCAGGTATACAATAATTTTTTGAGGTCTTGTACCTGGGTCATGGATTTTTATACTGAAAGCTCATGAGCATCACTCTGTTCTGTTTGTTTTTTTATAGATCAAAAAGGTCAGGCCCTGCAATGAGATGCAGTTTCCTTTGGGCCGCTAAAGAGCAGACAGAACAGAACTACACAATCCACTGAGGACGCAGTGTCCGTCTCCCGCCCTGTCCATTGCAGAGGTTGCAGCGACTCCTAGAATATCACCCCCTTCTCATCGCCAGCATGTCTGCTGTCACCTCAGCAACCCCGGCCCCTCCTCAGGGAGTCAACCCCCCACCCCCGGAGGTGACCAATCCCACAAAACCAGGTCGGAAAACCAACCAACTACAGTACATGCAGAATGTAATGGTCAAGACGTTGTGGAAGCATAACTTTGCCTGGCCCTTCTATGTGCCAGTCGATGCCATCAAATTGGGACTTCCGGTGAGTAGACTGTAGATATTGAGAGGTGTTATAAATGTCAGAAAGTCAATGCTTATAGATATCTCACCGTGCAGAAGACTTGCAGCTGACAGATTATTTTGCTTATTCTGTGTCAGGATTACCATAAGATCATAAAGCAACCTATGGACATGGGAACCATCAAAAAGAGACTGGAGCATAACTACTATTGGAGTGCTAGTGAATGCATGCAGGACTTCAACACCATGTTCACCAATTGTTACATATATAACAAGGTGAGTGCTCCAAGAGAGTAAATACAGACTGTGTCTCCTAGGGGTCCGTTTATTCTGGATTTAATATTACAGTCTCTAATATGTTTGCAAATTCTCCCAGGGCTAGTCCCAAAGCTCCATGTTTTTACATTGATCTCAAGTTTTCTCTTTGCATTTCCCATTCATGTTCCTCACTTTGTGTTTTTACTTTGCCCACCAGCCAACAGATGACATTGTCCTGATGGCACAGGCCTTGGAGAAGATCTTCCTGCAGAAAGTTGCCATGATGCCCCAGGAGGAGGTGGAGCTTCTGCCTCCCGCACCCAAACCCAAGAAAAGCATAGGTAATAGGCCACTGTTCATCTGATCCTGACACTATAGACCCCTATCATTTTGGATAGATCCTTAGATATAGTATTGAAAAATGTAGAGAAAATGGGCGCATATTGCCAATAAGATAGCCCATGTACTGTGAGTTAACCACTAATCATTGCACCTGCTACAGGTGGTCTGGATGGAGATGAGTCACCATCGTCCATCCCTGGCTCTACGACATCTGTGATGGGCTCTTCTACAATGTCTACCGTCACCCCCAAAGTCCCAGCTGTCCAGCGCTCGCCCAATGCTCCCATGATTCCCGTCGTCTCACCCTCACAACCTCTTGTTAAAGTAAGTCACTGTACATTTTTCTTCAGGCATATACGTGTTTATTTAGTCTTTTGAATGGAACCTCACCTGTGAGTGTGTGCCTTTTGTGTTTTTGTGCACCTAGAAGAAAGGGGTAAAGAGGAAAGCAGACACCACCACCCCCACGACATCTGCAATCACAGCCAGCCGGAGCGAGTCGCCCAGCCCCCTCTCAGAGGGCAAGCAGGGCAAGGTGATGTCAAGAAGGGAGAGCACAGGCCGTCCGATCAAAGCTCCAAAGAAAGACCTGGTGGAAGGGGAGTTGGGCCAACATGGCAGCAAGCGGAGCAGAATGAGTGAGCAGCTCAAGTACTGCGACAGTATCCTGAAGGAGATGCTGTCGAAGAAACATGCTGCGTATGCCTGGCCCTTCTACAAGCCTGTAGACGCTGAGGCTCTGGAGCTACATGACTACCACGAGATCATCAAGCACCCCATGGATCTCAGCACTGTCAAAGTATGCACCACAGAACAAAGCATGCACAGTAGTATAATTCACGTTTACAGTTAACCATTGTTGGCTTGTGTGGTTGCCCTTCCATGCACTGTTTGGATAACACTTGCTGTTGATTTGCAGAAAAAGATAGATGGCCGGGAGTACCCAGATGCACAGATGTTTGCAGCGGATGTTCGAATAATGTTCTCAAATTGTTACAAGTATAACCCTCCAGATCACGAGGTTGTTGCCATGGCCAGAAAACTCCAGGTAGGTTTGGGGATTTTAAAGGTCCACGTTGGGCAAAAATAACAGCTTTAAACTGTATAACTGATCATTGCACCATCATACCAGGTCATTTTAATGCTTAAAAACAACAAAATGGATGAATAAGATATTTGGCTACAGAAGTGCAATTTCTTACTGATCTCTACAGCTTCTGTCCAAAAACAAATCCTGTGAAATGACGTCAACACATACTGGAGGAATTACTGGCTAGCTAAAGTGGCTAGCTTAGCTAATGAACTAGCTACATCGATTGTGGCGTGCATGACCAGAATGACACATCGACGAACCACCAAAGGCACACCCCATTTCTGTTTGAAAATTGAGAAAGGGCAGAGTTGGACCGTTTTTTTGTGCCCAAAGTCGACCTTTAAACCTTTCTCTGGATCACGTTTGAAAAATCTACGTAAAATTGAATCGTTTGGTTAATTCCTAATGTCTCTTTCTGTCACTCTCCTTTTCCCCATCATTCCCTGTGTGTCTTTGTCTGTCAGGATGTGTTTGAGATGCGTTTTGCTAAGATGCCTGATGAGCCAGCGGAGCTGAGCCCCGGTGCAGGCGGGTTGGTCAGTAAAGGTGACAACTCAAGCAGCGGCGACTCCTCCAGCTCAGACAGCTCCGACTCGGAGGAGGAGCGGGCCTCCCGGCTCGCCGAGCTGCAGGAACAGGTGGGTGCGGAACAGGTGGGTTTCAGATCCGAGGTCCGTCCGACTCTACTCCTCTATCCTGAAGGGCTCAGGGAGGGCCTTCCTCCCACCTTCTCACATCACAGCCACCTTGTCCAATCGAAACTTGTCTGAGACCGAGAGGGAGGGGCTGCCACCTTACATGCAGTGAAACCCCTCCCCCCTCCCTTCAACCACGCAAACCACTGCTTTCTCCACTGATTTGTCATCTCCCCATTGATAGCACTGAAATGTAACCCTCTACCGCTTCAAATTGTGCATTTCCATGCACCTACTGGCACAGATGGCTTGCATGCACCACTTAAACAAAAGCCTTAAAAAAAAAAAACATATCACAATGTAGTTTTGCATAATGGTACCACACAGTAGCTCTTGTCATAACATGGTGTTTTAAAATGGTTTTGATCTGATCTCTTTTTTTGGAGTTTTCTATCTTTGTCCCCTTATTTCCCTTTGGCTCTCTTACCAGTGTATCTCTCTGGAGCGCCCCAATGGTAGCGGGCAGGGGGGAAAAAACGGTTGCACCAAGCGTTTTCAGGTGATTTGCTTTTCACTTCCTGGCCCCCTTCCCACTAACCTCTTATTGATATCAGTTTATTATCATGATGCCGATATTTCACCTTTTTTTTTTTGCAATAGTTGAGCAAGCGGTAGAGGGTTAATAGTGGGGAGGGGGGTGGCGAGTAACAGGTGGCGAAGTGCTGTTTGCTGGGTGGTGGCAGATGTGGTGTATTTGAGTAGGTGTGTATGCGTTTGTATGGTTGTGTGAATGTGTGTTTGTCTTCTCCCTGGTATGCTTGCTGGCTGACCAACTAGACATACTCCTTTCTCCATTCTCTCTCTCTTGATTGCCTGTTGGTTGTGTCCAATTTGACTTATGAAGCAATGAATGGAGGAGTATGCAACTTGTTTTCTTCTTCCTTGTTAGAACATGTAGCTCTCAAAATCATACTTTTTTTTAAATAGAAAAAGTTGGATGTTCTAAATCCACAACAATGCTTAAACCACATCAGGAGACTACTTTTGAGGTCTTCGACAAAAAATCTAAATTTGGAATTTTGGGTGTAGTTACTCTTTAATGCGAGTGCACACCAGCAATAGACTGTTGTTTGGTTAGCGATGTTTCTGTAGCGCTCATGTGATTGCAGAGTTTGCTAAACAAATGGCCACTGGATTGATGCAAAAAATCATGAAATCATTCTGCCAGGTAGTCAGAGGCTACTTTGTAGTTAACATTTAATTGAGAAAGCCTTTCCATCTCTACCAGAAGAAAGTTATCATTAGCGTCATCACTAACGGCTACACAAAGTATAGACATATACGTGCACTACTCACACACATGCGAGCATTCATGTGCCGTTTCAAAAAGTTGCAGGGAAATACCAGTCACTGATGCAATTTGTTCATGTTTTATAACCGACTTGTGCAAATTTAATGAACTTTTTAATAAGTTCAATACATTTAGTTGATTTCCTTTCCAAGTTCAATACATTTTTGAATGTTTAATTCTGTTTTAACGTCTGGATTTCACATATTTTTAGGGCTATAGTTATTGATTTGTTTCAGTTCCTTTTTTGGAAACCCATATCTACCCTCTTCTAGTCCCTCAGTGCTTGAAGTGTTAGAATACCCCTACAGCAGGTCACTAACTCCTCCACCCCACCTCTCCCCAGCTAAAGGCTGTCCATGAACAGCTTGCCGCGCTCTCTCAGGCACCTGTGAGCAAACCAAAGAAGAAGAAAGAAAAGAAGGAGAAAGACAAGAATAAGAAAGACAAGGACAACAAGCATAGCAAAACCAAGACGGACGAGGAGAAGAAGGCCAAGTCTGGGCAGCCTGCCAAGCAGGGCCAGCAGAAGAAACCCTCCAGGAAAGCCAACAGCACAGTGACTGGCTCCAGGTAAGGCCTCCTTTTCTCTGATGTATTAGGGCTCTGCTCAGCCTCACAATAAGCAACACCATAAAAAGACCATGAGACACTTTCTCATTGCGGCGCTGCCCTCTGATTTTCCAGGCAAGCAAAGAAGGGGGGCCGGGGCTACGAGTCTGACGAGGAGGAGTCTCTGCCTATGACGTACGACGAGAAGCGCCAGCTCAGCCTGGACATCAACCGGCTCCCAGGAGAGAAGCTGGGGCGGGTTGTGCACATCATCCAGTCCCGAGAGCCCTCGCTGCGAGACTCCAACCCAGACGAGATTGAGATTGACTTTGAGACGCTCAAACCCTCCACCCTACGCGAACTCGAGCGATACGTCAAGTCCTGTTTACAGAAGAAACAGCGGAAACCCCAACGTAAGTACTGAGGTCGAAGACCTCGTGCATTGAACCTCCCTCTAAGTATCTTCTCCTACCTTCTCGCTTTACTGTTACTTGCTTTTCCTCCCATTTGCTTTAATTACTAAATGCTAGTTTTCCCCTTTTTTAGTATTTTTTAAAAATAAGTAGATTGTTCCTTCCCTCTACCTAGTTGCACGTCTCCCGGTTGACTGCTAGTGTTTGATATACAGGTGGTCCCCAACTTTTTGAACTCCTAAAAATGAATTTTCAGCTGACCTTTGGTTTTTGGTCTATGTGTGCTAGCTCAATGACCTACACAATTGACCTTGTGTACATGTAGCCTAACTGAAGACACAGTACTGTTGCCAATGTCTTGGCATTCTGGACATAGATGCTCTATGCTGCTTTCAGGGACCTCCTGTATAAAACGTTTTAGGGCCTGAACCGGGTTTGTTGCTGTGTTGCTAATATCGGCTCCTACTCGGACCCAGCGTCGTGGAGTCAGGCAGTGTGTCATGCCATGTGACAAATAACTCCTGGACAAGCTCCTGTATAGTCTTCACTTAATCACAATTTGTGCGGCTGCATTTTTAGAAGGTGAGATTAAGTTTGTTCAAGTCCAAGAGCATAAATGCTCGCCTGGGCTTTGAGCCTGCTGCCGTCTGTAGTCCTCCAGGTTGTAGGCCTTAGGCCATAGGCGTAAGGCGCTAGGACGTAGCTGTGAAGTAGCTAGCTAGCTGTCACCACAGCGGCTGGGGTCCGGGCAGGAAGGCCATGGTGCTCACAGCGTGCCGCTGTGTGTCTCCTGCAGCGGCCGCTGGGGGCAAGGGAGCCAGGTCCAAGGAGGAGCTGGCTCAGGAAAAGAAGAAAGAATTAGAAAAGAGGCGACAGGATGTCAGCGGCCAGCTGAACAGTAACAACGGCAACAAGAACAAAACCAACAAAAAGAAAACGTCCAAAAAAGGTACCATAGAGTAAGGGACAGCAGGAGTTGCATAGAGTAGAGTAAGGGAGGAGGCACGTGGACCCTGGCTTGTTGCACATTTTCTACCTAGTTAACACATTCATTTTGGCCTGATGATTATTTATTTTTATGGCCCAGAAAAGTTTCCTCTGATCTGTCTTTATGGTTACAAATCTATAGATACTATCATAGATTTATTGAGTTGGGCAGTTGTATGGTTACTGTAACAGACGTGACTAGGAAGGAGTAACTTGAATGGTGTCACTGTGCGTCAATCATAATGAAAGTGCAAGTCCATTTTAAACATGAGCAAAACATTTGTATGCACTATGATACCCAAAGTATTTCTCTTTTAACATTTGCACGTCATTGAGACATGGTGGTATGTAATACGTTTCGCCACGTCTCATGCATGATCCTCTCTCTCTTTCTCTCTCCTTCCAGAGAAGGGCGCTGGGTCCGGTACCGGTGCGTCCCGTCTCAGCGGTAGCAGTAGTTCTTCAGATTCTGGTAGCAGCAGCTCCAGTGGGTCCAGTTCTGACAGCAGTGACTCCGACTGAAAAGCGCAGCCCAAACACTCGCTGGGAACTTTTAATTTTTACCCTTTTAAAAATAAAATGTTGTATCCAGTCATAGTTGTTTCCCCTTATAACACTTTATATGAGGAAAAAACAACAATAAAATGTAATGCTATGTCAGAACATGTCAAGTTTTTTTAGTAAATACCTTTGTGGAAAGAAAAAGGAAAAAAACATGGGATATTCTAGATTACTTGACAGGGTACTTTTTGTTTCCTCTACCTTTTCAAAGGGATGTGTTAAAAACCCACCAAACATAAACTGAGGATTTTGTAATACACTCTTGGATAAATGCCAGATGTCTTTTCCTTTCTCCTAATACCGTCAACAAATTGAAGGAGTTGCATAGTTACCAAAACGCAGCAGAACCCCATGTCCTCCTAGTCCCATCACTGCTACATAAGCATCCATTTGCCCAGGTGGTACAGTAACAGTCCTATTCAATTACTTTCATTGAAAAATTATCTAAACTTCTCATCCAGCTTCAAGTTTTTTTTCACCCTCCTAATGAGAAGAGCTATCTTTTGGAATAGGCCCTTATGTGAATTTTGGGTTGTCACTCTTCCAATCATTTGACTTTCTACAAATACTGAACCTCATTTGCCTCCGAGTAGCACATTTCAGATAATTCTGAGCAATCATGTTGGGCATCTTCAGCAGTATATACAGCCAAATTGAATGATCTGAAGATTTTCATTCATTAGTTGAAATGGGATTGCTGTTATTATTTGACTGTATAATAACAGACATGGGCTCTTATTTTCGAACCCGGCAGTATGTAAAGTTTTAGCTAAAATGTATGTTAGTAACTGGTCTGAGTGGTTATGAAATAACATTTTAACTTATATAATTTAGATATTTACAGATGCTTTTGGTCAGAAGAAATGACAATACAATAATTCACTCAACAGTTTGATTCATTACTCATAACATGACAACCGCTAGGTATGGTGGCCTCTCCTGTACATGTGTTTCCTGGCCTGCCTCTTGCTTAATCTACAATTCTCACTGATGAATGTATGTATGATGCCTTGAATGATTGTGTTCCACCAGGTCAATGACATTGTGTACATCACTGCTTTATATGTGATGGGACGGCTAAAACTGTACATAACTGACCTGTGTACATTTTCAGTACACTGGCGTAGGAACATGTCTTTCACTTTTGACTCTATTGCAAAGCGCACCTGCTGTCTGTTGGGGCTCTATCCCAAACAGAGCAGTTCCCTGATATTTTTCTCTGTCCAAAGTAATGACATAAACAATGAAAGCAGGACAATATTGTGAACAATGTGGATTTTCCTCTGAAGTGTGGGGTATTGATTTGAATGTAAGTCGTTACCACCAGGTCCTTTGTTTTATTGTGGCCACAGCCTCTCATTATAGTCTTCAGTTCACCTTTTTATTTCTCAGTCAACTCTTTTATTTTTCTCTCAGTGAGCAAAGAGTTAATTATTCATTAGAGAATATCCCTCATATTCCACTCCTGTAAGAATGCATTTTATTATTTAATGAAGTGTATCTGAAAGTAGTGTCTCAACGATTTGCCTGATGTACAATTTGTGGTAATTCTTTTCTGGAATTGGTTGAAAATTAAATTGAAGCCACTTTGGGTTTCATTTACTGTTAATAAGTTGATACTTTTAAAGATTTAGTCATATGCATTGTTATTTTAAGCTATGGTGGAAATAAATATTTGTTTGATTTTGTGGTAATGTCCTTCATACCAGGTTGCACTTAACTGCAAAACTCCCCAAATGATGTTGTATGCATTTCTCTGACTATACCAATGTTCTCCAGTACAGGCCCTATCAGGTTTTTCTAAGAATTGTCTTTTAGAAGCGAAAGACTGAAAATATATATATATATATATACACAACCTTTAGTTTATTTCAAGGCCCTGGTGAAAATATTATAATAGTTCCTTTTATATTTTAAAAAGCAAATGTTAACTTTTTATCCTTGATGTGCATGCAAGTTTATTGTAACTTTCTTATACCTTTTTTGAGCTGTTTGTCAGTCATCGAAACAAATCAATTCTGTGTAAGTAGTTTTAGTCTTGTTTAATGCAATATGGGCCTGAGAGGGTGGGATTTGGGGGGTCGGGACTGGAGGTAGAAGCTAACATTTCATGTAACCGCTAACCTGGAATCAGGTTCCTTTATTTTTTTATTTTTTGTGTAAATAAATTACAAGACCCTACTGAATTTGTCTCATTTTCTGCATGTCCTTGATCTGTTTGACTGCTTTGTTTGTACTTGTTTTCATTATGACTGAGGTAGACCTGTGTTTTTCTGGTGGATGAAAAGATCCTGAGGAGAAGATGTGGATGGATAGTCCACACCCCCGAAAGCCACTTTCCGTCATCGCCAGGCAAGCTCTATCCTGGAACCAGAGGGAGAAGGAAAAGAGGACGCCCAAGGAACACCTGGAGGTGGGAGCTTCAGGCAGATAACAAAAGGAGAGGAGTGGTCAATGGCCTATGCTCCCAAAGAAGCGATTGGGATTAGTAAGTAAGACCATTGTAGACATTTTTTATAATATACTGTTAAAGCCATAATGTGGGATGATTTTAGTGTTAATGGACTGGGTGTGCCCTTTTAACATGATCAGCCAAAACCCAAAGGGTAGCAATGAAGGGCTGTCTGCAGTTCAATGATGGGCCACTAGATGGTGGGCATGTATAATCTTTTTTTGTGGGGTGGCAGATTTGGTTTGAGCTGTGTGCTTGCTGGATCAAATCAAATTTTATTGGTCACATACACATATTTAGCAGATGTTATTGCGGGTGTAGCGAAATGCTTGTGTTCCTAGCTCCAACAGTGCGGTAGGATCTAACAATTCACAACAATACACACATCTAAAAGTAAAATAATGTAATTAAGAAATATATAAATATTAGATTGAGCAATGTCGGGGTGGCATTGACTAAAATACAGTAGAATAGAATACAGTATATACATATGAGATGAATAAAGCTGTATGTAAACATTATTAAAGTGGCCAGTGATTCCAAGTCAATGTATATAGGGCAGCAGCCTCTAAGGTGCAGGGTTGCGTAACCGGGTGGAATCCAGCAAGTGATGGATTCAGATGACAGTGAGTGACACACCTCAAACGTGCTGTTTTAGGTGAATCTCAACCGAATGATTATAGGGGTGACATTTTCTCTTGGATGCATGATGGATTCGTGTCTTTTTAAGTGAGTTATGAATTAGCCATTTCAGGAAACTTGTTGGTTCGATACCAGCAAACACTTTCCATGGGTGCATGAATAAATGAAATGGTGTAACCCCCCCATGCATTCATCTTTTAGTGCAAGAATAGAATATCTATGTTTACAATGGGAGCTTCTAGGGCTCAGTGTAGGGCTATACATCAGTCACTGTCCACCCCAGCTCTTACTCTACTTGGTTTGTGCTGGAGGGGGAGACTTGTACTGTGTGACCCCTCCTCCTCACTGTGGCATATGCAACATGCTACC